TGGCAATGGGGTACTAGAGGAATCTGTGGGGGAGACCCTGCACATATAAGACTCTGCAATTATTGGATAAGGGGTACCATTTAGCTGAATGGTTAAGAATCTGATTAATACCTCCACATCCCGCACTGGAATGTCTCGATTCAATTTCCAGCTCCAAACCCCTTAGTTTCAGCTTCCTGATAGTTCAGTCCCAGAGATAGATAGCGGTCCAAGTAAAATTGGGTCCCTTCCACCCACAAGGGACTTATTTTAAATTTCTGGGTCCTGAATTCAGATTGGCCCTGTCCTAGCCATTTCTGCGATTTAAGGAGTGAACTAATAGATGGGAACACACTCTCATCCTATCTCTCATCTATCTGAATCTAGTTATAATCTATCTAAGCCACTTTTCTATCTCTCCCTCTCTGCCTCTCAAAAAAAAAATTAAAATTATTTAGTAAGTATGTAACTTTTGTAATTGGCATTAGCTTTCTCATCTCTTAAAACCCCTAGGAAACTCAACACATAGTTGCAAAGGTGAAAATCTTTTCATTCTACATATAAACTTGCCGAGCTATGTGTCACATATCCAACTAGCTTGACAAACACAAAAGTTAAATACAACAGGGATCTTGGTTGTTTTCGTTTTGCATAAAATCTTGTCACTGTATGAATTTTAAATTCAAATCTTTTCCAATAACCTTACCTTGCTCAGGCACATAAAATCTGTATAAATCAGCTAATACAGGGCTAAAATGAAAAACTGGAAAGTGTATATCCGTTATATAGTCTCACAATTTATGCAAGTGAATCTCCAAAAGCCTTTCTTGTTTTGGTTTTGTATAGAATAATTGGGTTTCCATGTCAATAGTACCTTAATAAATCATGCATTCAGAATAGTGAATTACTCCTATTCCCCGCGATAGCACAAGCAGGTCTTTTATAATGTGCTCTTGCTTGTTATAAGAATGGTGGCCAAATAGTGTTTGGATTTCCTGTTTTGGACCCTGACATGCCATTTTGGGATCTGCAATGCTTGCTGCAAGGGGTGGCAGAGAATTACAGTTATGAACTTACTGAAGCAAATTTAGTCATGCACAAGAAATAGCTTAACTTTTGATAATTAACCATGACCACCTTCTTCTCTTCCCGCCCGAAACCCCCCTCTCCCCAAAAAAATCAGATAGGAAAGCGTTAGCTCCACAATCCCAATTTCCAACAACATTAATTTCAGGTCAAATTCTTCCATCCAGACATTTAGTCAACAAACATGTGTTGACAAGAAGACACAGGGTGATTGTACAAGTTGTTCTGTAAACCTTGTGGAACCCCAGCAGTCTGCCTTTTGTGTATGCAGAGAAGACTCACCCAGCAGCATTCCAGGGAGCAGGCTGCTGCCCAGCCTATTGTCCCAGTGAAACAAGCAGAAGTCTTCGGAATCCTCAGGCAGACCTGGGATCACTGAGGAGTCCGACAAGACACAATTTTCATAGATACGCTCATTTTGCTTAGAAGTCTAATTAGCTAGTCTTCAAATGTTGCCGTGAACATTGCCCCTAAGCACAGAGAGTTTGTTGCAAAAATGATAGCTAAAATCCTCAGCTGATGCATTCCTTCTTAACTGACAAACAATAAATATTTACATTTATGAGGAACAATGTGATGTTTGATATGTTTATAATGTGAAATGAACAAATCAGGCTAATTAGTAAATTCACAGATGTGTCATTTCTTTATGAGGAACACATTTAAAATCTATTCTTCTAGCAGTTTTGGAATACATTGTGCATTATCATTTATTGCAGTCACTATTTTGTGAAATAGGTCACTATAGCTTGCTTCTGCCATATAAGCGAAACTATGTATTCTACATTAAGGTAATTTGTTGTCCCTTTGATTGAAGTTTATGCTAAACAACACATTCATACTGTCAACATGCTTTATGCAATATGCTAAAGTCGTTAAGGCCATAAATTTAGATGTCTTAAGTGGGGAAAATTAATTTAGACAATGGTGGTAGTGTGGTGTGAAAGTACTAAGCCTTGAAATCTCATAATCCATTTTTTTAAGAACTCCAAGTTCGGAATCAACTAAGTGAAAGAAGAGGAGCTTAGGGAAACAGGATCATTCAGATTTTATGTATTTGAATCAGAAGTTTAACTTTTCTGCAAGACACAGGAAATTAGCAACAAATTTTATTCAGAAAGCAATGTCCATTTTGAGAAGATTACTCCAACAGCAAATGTGTAAGATGGATTGAAAAGGAATTGGGAAGGAGAGAGTTAATAAAAAGGAATACAAATGAGAAGTAATAAGAGCTTGCTCTAAGGCATAACACTGAGAGCACTAAAGAGACAAATTCATAAACAAAGGCTAGGACTGGGGACTGAGTGGATATACAGAGTATGAGCAAAAGCTAGTCTCAGAGATTTAAACAATTGTGTTTGCGAAGCACAACTGGGCTGATTGAATAAATTATGATCAAGTGTGTAATGGCTCATTTAAAATTCTTATTCTTTATTACAAAAAGCAGGCCCTGTAAAAATTTTCCATAGAAAACTATATAACATCAAAATAAAAGTGGAAGGCGCTTCTCATTATCGCAGACCAATACAGACCAACCAAACCGTCTGAATTCTCTTTGCTCTCCCCTTTCTTGATGTAGGTTATGTTAGGCCAGTTCCGATAAGTTCTTTAAGCATCTACAAAATGGATCTTGTTCTCTTCCGCTCCATCTCGTAATGACACTTTACCATGGTCTATGTTGTATTTCTGTAAACACTACAAATTCGATTCCCACAAATATATGTTATGATATTGCTTGATTTCCCACAAAATAGGAATACTTTCTGTAACATTTTATTTATAAGAGTAAAAACAGTAAATTCAACATGTAAAATTCAATAAACAGTATAATTAGCTGGGAAAGCAAAACTATGCCACACCAGGCAAGTACCATTTAAAGAACCCAAGATTTGTAAAATATACTAACTATAAAATTCAGATAGCAACAAATAGCTTATGATTTTGAATATTTTATGCTATCCCAAAACTCTTCCAAATCTGGAATACTATTAAGAATAGAGTTTGGAAAGTCAATTATCATACTGTGAGTTAAATGGTTTTCTATTAAGAAGAGTACTAAATATCGGATATTACTGTCTCTACATTGAAATATGACACAGGCAGTCAGGCAAATTCAAAACCAGAATGGTTTATTTCATCACAATTACAATTTAGCAAAATATAGTAGAAACGCACTGCTGACATATTTCCTAATTCTACATGGGAACAATAATATGAAATAGTGAGAAATTGGCTGTCACATCTCACATAAATAAATCAGGTATCAATTTATAGTAAGTCATGTTCATGTGTTAATATCTGGAAGTAACTCCTTTATACTTACATTATGAAAGCCTATTTTTATAATCACATTCACAGGAAAATGCACTACACCAATTTTAACAGCATGTTTATTAAGGAGACCAAAAATCTTTTTCATCAGTAAATAATAGTACAGGCATGCTAACAACTCTTGGTATTGATGATTTTAGTACAAGAACAATTTACAGGATTTGTAATGTGCAAACCTGGATTAATTTTTCCAAGAAAAAATATTATAAAAATATGACAAGAAATATTATAGACTTATTCTTGCAAAACTGTCTTCTAGTATATTGTTTTCATTTTAATATAAATGCAAAAAAAATTTCAAAGTAAACTTTTGATGGTAAGAATTACACTAAAAGAATACTTTCTTTTGGATATTTCAGTAGTAAGTTTAAGTATTTCCACAAATCTCAAAAGTACACCTTTGAATTTATTGACTTTGTACCATATCACACAGCTGATAATGTTGGCAAGTATAGATTGATGAAATATTTTGCTAAAGTCATTCTCTATTAAACATATGTTTTAATTTCTAAACAACTTATTTTGTTCAACACATTTTTCTAATTTATTTTATCATAGAATATAGGTTAAGATCATAAATTTGGAAACAATGCTAATTCTCTCTCATCTATCTGTAGTGAACATGAAATGATAAACATGGGATTTAGAAAAAAGAATTATAATACAATATACATTTAGAAAAAAATGTTTTGGTTGTTTTTGTATGTCAAAACAAGATGTTTAGAATATCATTTTATAACAAAATATGGTTTCCCATTTGGGAAAAGATTAGTAATTATCCTATGAGTCCACTTACACAATAACTCAATTCTAGAGATCTTTATTTAATAAGAATAATATCTTTTCTCATTTTCTATTATTTCCAGCTAAAAAATAATTCTATGCAGGTAAAAGGACTTCAATTAAAATAAAATAATGGAGATATAGTCAATAGAACAAATACATAGTGTTTGATTGAACAGTAGTATAACATTTAGAAGAGTTTACGTGACAATTCAGTATTTAAATGAGCACTGTAGGAGTAAATCTGCCTCATTATAAATATTAAAGTTACAGAAAATAGCTATAATCTCACTGCTTGAAAAATCTATCCCACGTGTACTTTGATTCCTTTAACATTTCCATATGTTTAAAACAAGTTGAACTATTTCCATCTTTAAGTTTTGGACTCAATCCAAATTCATCAAATTTGGAATGGTAGCAATTATATTCTGGAGAAGATGCAATAAAAAAACATGGAATGATGGTAAACTTGGTTACTCTACAGAAGCTCTTGTATAGTTTGATGCAGATGTCATATTCCCATTGGTAACCTCTAAGATAGTAATAGTAACCTCTAAGATATAGTAACCTCTAAGATATAATAAAAATCAGTAATAAGTAAAACAGAAGTATATCTTTAGAAGCCCACAGAGAGCAGGTGTATAGTATGTGTATGAACACACACCTCTGTAACTCAGTGTTTCTCTTTACAGCCTCAACTTTCTTGGAAACAAATGAAAAAAAAATTAAAGAGAGATCAAGGAAAATGTATTCCAATGTTGGTTATCCTTGGCATGCTATTCAACTCTCCTTAGTGCCGACGGCCTATGAATTATTGAAAACTAAATTCCCCATGGAGTATGCAAGATGTTAACAAAATCTTCATCATTTACTATTCCTATACTTAGACCTTCATAGTAATCTTCAAATTCACCATATGACACTTCATCAGGCTTGCTGCAGCATTCTCTTAATGTTTCTAAAAAAGAGGATTTGATTTCTTCCTCTGTGGCATGGCCTGTGAAATAGAACAATTTTCTTACATGTCAATAAAATAACCGAGGATGACAAAGGAACATGTAAGCTTGTCATGAAATCCTTTTTAGTAATTTGAACTCCTATCAAACTACCCTCCAGTTTATTTAAATATGAGCTAGAATTGATTTATTTCATTAATGTGCCACTCCCACCTCTCTTGCAGTGACTTCTGCAATAATCCTAGCAGACAGCATGAATATTTTAATTGAAAAAGGATAATGAAAAATGAAAGCTATAGAAAGTGGACAGAAAATATTAAAAAGAGAATACACAGAAGCCTATATGCAAAAGTAGAAAAGGGGGGAAAAAAACCTATGCAACCTTCTAAAACATTGTAAAGTCAAATTGCATTTTTAATAACTGATTTAAATGTGAATACCATCCTAATTGTCTAACAAAGCAAAAAAAATGGGTAACAGTTGGCTCTTTCTCAGGAACCCACAAACAGAAGGCTTTTTAACAGACTTGGAATCATAATGCATTGTGAAGTGTTTTTTACACCAAAGAAACAAAAAGCTGCTTTGAAGATCAAGAATTTTGTGTCTATTAAAACTAGCCATGAAAAACAGAGAACAGAGTAGATAAGATAAGATAAGAGAAGAGAAGATAAGATAAAATGAGTTTGGGGCAGACGTTTGATGCAGTTAAGATTGCTTGGGATGCCTGTTTTCCATAAGGGAGTCCTTGGATTTAAGCTCAGCTCCATTTCTGATTCTATCTTCCGGTTGATGCACATCCCGGGAAAAGTAGTAATGACTCAAGTACTTTGGTTTTGCCACCCAGATAGAAATCAAAATTCCCAGTTTCAGCTAGGTCCAGCCCAAAAGCAGGCATTGGACTATAAACCAACAGTTGGGTGATCTCTTTCAAATTAAAACAATTATAAATGGATTCAAAATCAGTTGAATAAAGGCTAGGACTGTGGCACAGGGGCTTAAGTCCTGCCTGTGATACAGGTATCCCTATCAGCATGTTCAAGTCCTGACTGCCCCGCATCTAAATCAGTCCCAAGTAGTTGGGTAGCTGCACACGTGTAGCTGACCAAAGTGCAGTTTCAGGCTCTTAGGTTTGGCCTGGCCCAATTGCAGCAGGTCATCTGGGAAGTGAACCAGCAGATGCAAGGTTCCCTTCTCTCCATCTCCCTTTCTTTACAACTCTGCCTTTCAAATAAATAAGTAAGGGCCCGGCATAGTCTTGAGGTTAAAGCCCGTGGGTTGCATGCATCAGGATCACATAAGGGCCCATATTGTCCTGGTTACTCCTCTTCCCTTCCAGCTACTTGCCTGTGGCCTGGGAACACAGTCTAGGGCACACCAAAGCCTTGGGACCCTGCATCCACGTGGGAACCCAGGAGAAATTCCTGGCTCCTGGCTTCAGATTGACTCAGTTCAGGCTATTTTGGCCAAATGGGGTATTAACCAGTGGATAGAAAATCTTTCTCTCTGTTTCTCCTTCTCTCTGTAACTCTAACTTTCCAATAAAAATAAATAAAAAGTAAACAAATAATTAAGTAAATCTTTTTTTAAATGAAAATTGAGACACCCAGAAATGTAGAACATTCTATTTCTGATTCAGCTCCCTGCTAATTTGCCTGAGAAAGCAGCTAAACATGATTCAAGTCCTTGGGACCTTGCCCTCACATGGGAGACCCAGAAGAAGCTCATGGCCCCTAGCATTGGCCTGGCACAACCCTGGGCATTGTGGCTATATGGAGAGTGAACTAATGGATGGAAATCTCTCTGTTTCTCCCTCTCTCTGAAACTTCGCATTTCAACTAAATCTTTCAGAAGATTAAAAAGTGAAAGATTGAATGACAAAGGACTAAGTAACTATTATATAAAGATGGAAATATGAATTATATAATAAATTGAATTTGTGATTGGATGTTAATACTGAAAAGTAAGATGTAATCTTTATAAAAGCAAAAATTTTGGCAGTAGGTATTTCTCTCTCTTTAGCTTCTATACTCCTTATCCAGAAGTGTAAGTATTAAGACAATATTTTCTTAAGAAAAATATTTGTTACTTAAATTATATTTCAAATAGTTGAGAATTCGATACCTTCTCAAAATCAGGAAATGACTCATATTCAGGAAATGACTACCTAATATCATTTGTAACTAAATTTTCTTTCACTCTTCTTTAAGATCAGAAAGTATTTACAACAAATGTTATATTTCTTTTTCAAAAAAGATATTTTGGGGCCCAGCACGGTGGCTTAGTGGCTAAAGTCCTCACCTTGTATTCACTGGGATCCCATATGGGTGCCGGTTCTAATCCTGGCAGCCCCACTACCCATCCAGCTCCCTGCTTGTGGTCTGGGAAAGCATTTGAGGATGACCCAAAGCCTTGGGACCCTGCACCCATATGGAAGACCTGGAAGATGCTCCTGGCTTCTGGCTTCAGATCAGCTCAGCTATGGCCATTGTGGCCATTTGGGGAGTAAGCCATTTGGGGAGTAAGTCATTGGAGAGATGATCTTCCTCTCTGTCTCTCCTCCTCTCTGTATATCTGACTTTCTTTTAAATGAATGCAAAGTATAGAATTTTCTACAACTAACAAAGTCTTACCCACCAAAACAAAACAAGATCTTCATCAACAATTCAATGACATAAAACTGAAGTTACTTTCAGTAGCCTAATTAAGATGACCAGATATGAGAAGAAAAACCAGTAAAACAGCATTACAAATCACCTACTTTTTAAATGAGCAAATTGTTTAAAAGAAGTTGAGAATGACATGTGTTTTAATGAAAAAAGATAGTTACAATTAAATAACACTAGGAATCCTCTTATAGCATCAAAGAAAAGCAAATTAAATTTTTTGGACCTCAATGAAATAACTAGAAGTTGCAGCAGTCTGGTGATCATGAGCTATAATGTATAATTATAATTATAATGTATAATTATATGTATAATTTTTTTCATTTCCCAATTTATTATAAATAAATGATATGGAATACTTAATGATATTAACAAGTCAACATAATTGCATTATGTATTCTTTTAATGCTAAGAAGCAAAATTCTAAGTAAATACCCGTTAGCCTTTAATAGTATATAGTTAAATTTATAAATTCACAAAATAGTCTATAAATATTTCTTAAAATAGATTACAGTCAATAAATATATCAAAATTTATTTAACTTTGTAACTAGGTGAATACAAATAATAAAATGTTTTTCTGCCGATTTAACAAAATGCTAAATTATGGCCAAAATTGTGGGGCATAAGAATTCCTTTTACAGAGCAACATGCTTTTTTAACCGGTAAAAGGCAAAAAAGTGTTAGTTCAGTGGGAATGCAGACAAGGTTCATAAACAATAACTAAATAGAAAAATGATATTTTAACTCATATACAATAAATTATAAAGTAATTATACATCATCACAACTCTACAATAGTATAACATTAGTAACTATTTCTAATATTTTAGTCCAATATTATCTTTATTAACTAACATTTTGAGTCATAATAATTACCTGAAAGTACTTGGGGATGCTGCTTTGCACAATAACTTTTTTTTATATTTATGATACTCACAAAGCCAGTTTTGCTAAAATCCAGCTTCATAAAAACCTACATAAAAGGGAGAAATGTTATTTTTTTAATGAAATCACTAGACATTCTATTTTTCCATTTTTCAGTAGGTTAATTCTGAGAAATAAACAAGACTATATTAAACTAAAATATAAAGCCTTGTGGAAACAATATTAATGAGTTCTGTCTCTACATTACAGTCCCATGTTCATTTGTTCAACAGTTGTCCTTTTTGTTGTTGTTAATAAGTGAATCAGAATCTCTGGGATGGAGTCATTTAGCCACTCCCCAGATGTGTCATCCTACTGAGAACCATTGTCCTGGTCATAATAGAAGCAATAAATGAACTGATCATTCAGTTCATTTTGTTGTTGTTTGTTTCTATGACCTTTTTTTTTCTTTATTTTTTATACAGTTTAATAGGCACTGGGGTCTCCTCTCCCCCTTCCCGTGTTCTTTCCTGTACCCTCACAAGTCCTTCATACTGCCATTGAGGTGTCTCCCAACAATGTAGCATGCATGTTGTTTCATAACAAGCACTTTCCCACAAATTTTATGAAGACTCCAAGTAAAAGAAGCATCATAGATATAGAGAAAAAAGGTACTGAAGCAATACATTAAGAATCCTTTCCCTGGCGTTTAATTCTACCAGTCTCTGGCATCATGATTGTGAGGAAGTAATTTAACCACTCTGTGACTTTCTCTCTTTGAAAACTGAAGTGCTGGGTAAAGATGTCTCAAGGAAACTCCAGCTCAGGGATTCATTAAAAAGAGAACTGATAAATGGCCAATACAAATTGCCAGGAGAGCTATTTTAATTTTTGAAAATAGACTTGCAAATATTCCATCACTAAAATCAATGAAGAAGTAAAATGCTCTTTAAATGAGTTTTGTTCTGCTGCTTATTTGAAATTTAATACTGTCCTTTGAAATGCTACTTGTTTTATTGTTCCTCCAATTCAATGCAACTCTGAGCAACATAAAATATCATAAACCATTTCACTGGGGAGTGAATTAGATACATAGAAACACAAAAGCTGCCAAAAGCAATATCCCCTATTTGCAAGAGTCAGAATTACAATGGATAATTTATAATATTGAGTTCGCAGAAATAGAGTACCTGCTGTAGATGCAAGCATGAGCCCCAAAATGTTTTATTGTACTCTCATCCCCAGCACCTCTGCATGTGACTACATTTGGATACAGGCCTTTAGAGTGGTGAGTTAAGTTTAAAATGATAGCATTACGGTTGGCCCTAATCCAGTGTGCCTGGTCCTTCTAGAAGGGAGAAGGCAAGCAGTGTGTGAAAGGGACAGTTGGGGGAAGGCACCCAGCTACGGCAGCACTAGCAAACCCACATGGTTCCAAGATTTATGAAAAGGGCAACACCCAGTTTATACTTCTGATATACAACTCTATCACAAGGACGTACAAAGTGCCAGGGAAAATTTATAATTACTAAGTAGTGAATTTGTTTTGGCTTTTTGTTTTTGTCTTTTAGCCAGAGGAAGAGATTTCGATTTTTCTCTTAGGTATTTCTGCCTGATATAAATGTACATGTTTTAATTCTAATTTAATGTAATTTTAGTACTTGTCATGCATGTGATATGTACACCCAAGAAACATTGTTAGCCACCATCTTAAATTGAGCAATGGCCCTGGGACAGCTATAGAACATTTTATATGTGGTCCAAAACATTTGTCTGTTACTCACTCCCTCCTAAGCAGTATGTATATGAGCTTATTAGACACAACATGCATTACAAGTAAAAATGATTACAACATTCTAAGTGCCGATTCATTAAAATATTTAAATAATAAGCCTAACAACCTATTTTAAAAGAAAAAACATGGGGGAAAGTGTTTGGTGATGACTTAAGATGCCCCTTGAGGTGCCTGTATTCCATATTGGAGTGCCCCCTTTAGAGTCTTGGTTCCAGTCCTAATTCTGGCTTCCTGCTAGTGAGACTCTGGGCAGTAGCAGGGGCGTCTCAGGTATTCAGCACCCTGCGCTCCATGCGGGAGGGCGGAAGGTTTTGACTGGGTTTCAGCCAGCCAGATGTTGCAGTCATTTTTGGTGTGACTCTTTTTTTCCTCTCCTACCCTCTCTGCCTCCTTCCGTTTTTCAAATAAATAAAAACAAGCACTTGATTCCAAAAGTAACAAAGTCACCTTTCGAACAAATGATTTCCTGTATTCATTCATTTCACCAATAATTGCACGTTTAAATTCTCCATAATCAACCTTGCCATTGCCATCGCCACTGAGAATGAACCACAGAGACTCAAAATCCTAGAAATAATCACAGAGATGGTCATCAGAGCCCTTGATTACACAGTTACAACAATCATGTGAAAATCACAATCACACTCAAGTTATACATGTCATAAGATTATTGCAGTCACATACTGTTATCTGTTTTGTAACCCAGGCAAGGGAGTTCACTTAAAATAAAAAAATCTCAGTGTTACATGTAAATCTGACCATTAAGAAAGCCATTTAGAGGAATCTGAGATGAACAGTGCTGTGAAAAGAAAAACTAGGAGTGGTAAAAACTTGCAAATTCATCCTTTTAAAAAATTTCTTCTACTTTCAATTAACATAATAATACCAATATATCTATGGAATATGATAAGATGTTTCAACATATGTGCACAATGTGGAATAATCAAATCAGGCTAACTAACATATCAATCACATCAAATATTTATCTTTTCTTTGTGGTAAAAGCATTTCAATCCTCTTTTAGCTGTGCTGAAATACCTAATACATTATCATCAACTCTAGCCTGCAGTGACAACCAGAACTTACTCCTGTGGGCTAACTGAAATGTAATGCCCGTTGACAGACCCTTCTCCAGTTCCCTTCCTCTCCTGCCCATTCCACCACCTGAAAACAAATTCATCTTTAAAAATGCCATTCCTCTCTATACAAAACAGTATGTTTACCATGTACTTGAGTTGAACAAGTAATTACTTTTTAGTTTATTATCGTTGTGACACTTCAAAAGTCACTTTCATTTCTGGAATGCCTCCCAGACCATGACAAGCATTTCTATTGGTCTTTAAACTTGGAAAGCTTTGAATGATATTATTTACAAATTTATGCAGCAAGATACAATTTTGATTACATACTTCATGTCAGTTTATAATTTCATTTGCTTCTTTGAGAACCACGCTATTTAATAGAATAGTCCATTCACAGTGTTCATGATAACAAAGAAATTATAGCACAAGTTTTCTTAAACTCAGGTAAATTCATTTTCAGTTTCTCAAACAAGCTGTTTTAAATGTGAATGTAAATACAACAGTATTAAGGTGCTTGTCAAATAATGAATACATTATCTTCTACCTAATCCAAATTTTTTTCAAATAAAACTAATTAGGGAAAATAAAGCTCAACATTCTCCCCGCCCCCCATCTCAGTCATCCATAGATTTTTTTTTCTTTTGGTCTACCAAGACAGTGTTAACATGATAGAGATTTTAAGTTTTGGTGCAGTGGAACTGAAAATGAGCTTGACCTTTAAAATCATGGGTAATATGGACAAGATAAGATAAATGTGCTTATTAACTCATGAAATACTAAATTGAACCATAAATTTTAAAGATTAAAAGAATTTATATTTCAGAACTAAGTAATTTGACATTGTGACAATACAGTCATATCTCAACCCATTTAGATATGTTACAGGATGGAAAATAATTCAGTTGATAATATAAGAAGTAATTCACGGATAGTGCCTGTATAAAAGTGTGATTATCTTCTTGAACTATACCTATGGACTCTAAAGGGGGCACTCCGAGATGGAATACGGCACGTCAAGGGGTATCTTAGTTGTTACCAAACACTTTCCCCCATGTTTTTTTCTTTTAAAATCGGTTTGTTAGGCTTATTATTTAAACATTTGAATGAATCAGCATATTCATATTGTAAACATTTTTACTTATAAAGTATTTTGTGTCTAATAAGCTCATGTACATACAAGTCTGTTTAGATGGGAGCAAGGAACGGACATATGTTTTGGAAAAATAAAATATAAAACAAAATTTTAGTTCATAGATGACTGGCTCCATAAACTGTTTCTGGAGGCACGCATTCCATGTCAAAGTGCTTAGGTTCGAGTCTCAGCCCCTGCTCCTCTTCTGACTCCAGTTTCCCACCTGTGTGCATCCTGAAAGGAACAGGTGGTGCTTCAAATACTTAGACCTGTGCTGCCTGCATGAGAGAGCCAGGCTGAGTTCCAGGCTGTGAGGTGGTCCAGCTCTAGTTATTGCTCTCTCCTTCTCCAATAAAATCAAATTATTCCTTAAGGAACAAAGAAGCCCCTAAAATCTCAGTAGAAAGTCAATAATGTCACCAAAGAATAATACTCATATTAGAGAATTTCCTGTGGTACATACCTTTTCGGATATTTCAAAGTGAAACGCTTTCAGAGCTTGCTGAAAATCTGACTTTTCTAACAGTCCATCTCCTTCCTTGTCCAACTGCTGAAAGTATTTTCCCAGTCCAGTCAAAATACGAACACCTCTTTTATGCAATTTTTCCTTTAGCACATCTGTTTAACAAGAAGAAAGATGGCAGCTAGTTGTTGTTAGGCACAAATGTATCACAGGCCAATTGTCTCTCTTGTAAGAATGTTAAAGTTAATACAATGGTAATCAGGGATGTGACTATGCAATCAAATCATGAATAGGACCAAGAGAAGACTTGGGAAATAAAGATGCTTTTTGCAAGATTCATTAGATATAAAATCACACCAAGTATATCAGAACTATAGCACCACTGTGTGGTCAAAATGTTGTATTTTAAATACAAGAAAATGTTTTTCTACACCGGAATTAAACTAAATGCTTCAAATAAAATCATAGTTTTTATTGTCTAAATTTCCTTAAGTAGCCATCACCAAATCTGTCATTTCTTTGTTCTTTCCCTTGTTGTTACTAACTGAATTACAGAATGAATGTCAGATGAGTTATTGAAAAATTATCAATTTAATTTTTCTTTAAAAAAAACAATGTGAACTCTTCAATTGTAGCTTATTTGTGAAATAGCATTGTGATTCTAGAGTACTGTTTGTACTTAATATGTGGAGTAATTCCCCTTTCCACAAACACGTAAGAACCTGTGTTCTTGAGACCTTAGAATGCTTTTTGTATCTGTCTCTGTTATTCTACTTAATGCAGTTGTGCCATGCAAGCGCTCTTCCAAAAGCAAATGGAAAGTGTGCATTATGAAAAATTTTTGAATGATTTTTTAAAAGTTTGCAACCAGAATAAGCTTCTCTTTGCATTCTATATTCCTGCAAACTTTTGAAGTATTCTCAGATTTGCTTAGAAAATTCTGGTAGTTTCATTAAAGCAAATATTAGATTTAATATAAACTATATGATTATTTCTATGACTACTTAGCAACTTTCTCCATTTCAGACTATGAAATTCAGGAAAGGGCTTCCTATTCAAGCTAGGTCTGGAATCAAATTAGTATTAGAAAAAAAAATTGTAAAGCATCTTAGTGTCCCAGGCCACATAAATCTCATTTATTCCCTGCAACAATCCTGAAAACTAACAGAAGAGAATTTATTCCTCCATTTTAAAAAGAAGTAAGAAGTGCAAGGATGTGTACCAAATTAATCTCCAAAGAACCTCAGAGCCCACACATAAGGCTGGGCATCCACCCCTGGCATCTTCCCTTTCACACAGAGCCATCACGAATCTCTTTAGAACATTACATAATGTGTGTTGATTCTACAAAGCTCAGACTTCTACATTATCCCTGTTTATGAGAAGAATCCATATTATCTAATGATTTGTGAAATGTAAGTATTTTGTAATTTATACTACAATGAAGCTCCTGAGAGCTATTTATGTAGAAGAAATCCTAAAGATACCTTTTAGCAAATGTACATATTAATTTTTCAAAATAAGCAAGTCAGAAACATAAATCAAGTGCCATAAAATTGAGATGCACATAGCAAATACCGTTATACTGTTAAAACGAAAATGGTTGGGAAAAAAAAGCTAATTTTTTGAGGGTGGGATAAAAACACACACCTTGAATGGCCTTTAAGATCAGGCTGTCACTGGCCTCTTGACAGATCACATCATCATCATGTTCCACAGAAGCAGTTCTGCAAAGGACATGCTCACAGTCATAAAAATATCTTGGCTTGTATCATCTTGAGTACAGAACCCCTAATCTCTTCCCTGCTCCAGACCCAGAGGGACCTCACACACAAGGCCCAAGAGTGTTTAGACTTCAAACAAGTTCCAAACTTCCCTATAGACTTGGTTCCCTGGAGAATTCAACCAAGAAACCTTCCAGGAATTATCTGTGAACTTACTCACTTTTATAGTTGCTTCAGTATTATCTTATATACTGATTTAAACTCTCAAGTTTAAAACCACTTGAAAAGAGATTTATTTATTTTTATTGGAAAGGTACATTTACAGAGAAGAGACAGAGAGAAAGATCTCCACTGGTTCACTCCCCAAGTAGCCACAATAGCTGGAGCTGACCCAATCCAAAGCCAGGAGCCAGGAGCTTCTTCCTGGTCTTCCACATAGATGCAGGGTCCCAAGACTTTGAGAGTCATCCTCTACTGCTTTCCCAGCCCACAGTCAGGGAGCTGGAAAGGAAGTGAGCAGCCAGGACATGAACATGAACCAGTGCCCATATGGGATCCTGGTAGATGCAAAGTGAGGATTTAGCCACTAGGCTATATTGCCCCCAGGGTCCATAGTTTAAAACTACTTTTACACTGCAAAATGTAGCATGCAAAAATAATGTGAAAAACCCCAAATAACTAAATGTATTTGTAGTAATATAGTAAATGACACAGAAACATAAACTTCCTTCCTTATAGCAATCCTAATATACACATGCTACACTAATTATTGTCATTTTGAATCATGGTTTGGTGGCAAGAAACAGCAGAGGTAGCACATAATGTGTGTATTCATAAATAACATACACAATATATTCATTTAAATTATTTTTATGCATAGCACTATTTTTTTCACTAATCATATTATCTATCAATGTATACAATGAACATATGGGACCCAGAACTTTTCTAATGCTAAAAAAAGCATCACACTAACAATGCGGAGGAGTGTTCAGGCATTATACTGAAGTGCTATCTTTCAAAATGTAATACCTTTTAGTAGCAACTGATGAAATTGGCATAGCAAAGGCAAACTAATAAGATGTCTTTTACATAAAATGAAACTTTAAAATATTTAATTGAATACAATTGTTTTGATACATAAAGTATATGTAAATAGTGGATGGCACATAAAATACACACATACAGCTAAGCTTTGGCTTTTGAAAAATATCAACTCCAACTGAAACCCAACTGCTGTGTGAAAGAATCCCATTTTCAGTTTAAAAAAAATTACAAATGAATGTTTGACTTACTTTAGGGAATCCAGAGCCATTTGATCAATATTTGTGATTCGAACTCTGAGTAATACACTTTCTTTTATGCTTTTGGAAAGGCCAGGGTGATCAGAAGTTAGAAATGTCAAAGTTGCACCCTGAAGAAACGAACAGATTATTTACAACTAGAAATTATATGTGTGCTAAAACAAACCAGTACTATTTTACAATACTCTGTCCTGGTGATATATGGCATGATACGGTTTACTGGTGATTTAGAAAGCAGTATATTTGCAGGTTATTTAGAAAGTCATCAGGCTTCAGCTAACATTGTGGAAAAATAAAGGAACTAATTTCCCAATGTATCTCTCAGTTCCAACACTATCCTGCTTGACAAACCATGAGAACAACTACCCTGCCCTCCCAAAAAAACAACTATAGGAAACTCAGATTTTAATGTTAGAGTCAGAGGGAGTAAAAAAAGCCCAATTGGTTCAACTGAAATTATGCACCTTTCAGAACAAAAATAGAACTATTTGTCTGAAGAATGATGGACTGGACATTGAACTGTGATAATCTGATCACACTCTCAGCTGACTTGTAAATGACAAGTATCACACAAATAGAAAAGCCAGTTGAACCTAATCAGAGCATCACAGGTTTCAGTGATAAAAAGTCTATCAGAAACTCGTACTTCAAAACTTAGACATTTCTTATTTTCATTTCTGAATTGTTTAAATAAAATGGGCAATGTAAGAACAAACTTAAAATAAAAGGTATAAGTCTTCCAGGTGAATATTAGCAGAGATTTCCCTCCCCATCCTTTTTAGAAAATTTATTTAATTAAATTTCCAATTGTCATCTAAGTACTCCTGCCTTTGAAATGCATATAAATTCTCTTGAAAATTAAATAGACCTGTTAACTTTCCAACTTAGGAATATCTTTCTCAAGAAACTGGGAGCCAGTCTTTGAAATGTAAACATCAAAGGGGATCACAGTAGACCCGCTTCCATCCTTTGGTGAAAGGATAGAAGCCTAACTTCTTTATGCACTTTGTTCCAAGTGCAAAACTACAACCCATTAGTAAACTCTGAAAAGTTCCTTTTTTCCTTCAGGGAAAGACAATTAGCTAACCACAGATAACTGTTCCAATGGCCAAGGAAATCTGGAATAAACCTTCTGCAACAAAGGGTTTTGTCTGTCTCTTTCCTTGCAGACTAGTTACTGTTTATGTTTCAAAGCATGTATATACCCGGCTGTATCTCCTTGGCCTATGTAAAAGAGTGAGGTCTTTGCCTGTGCAATCAAAACCACTGAACAATGGAAAAATAATCAATCTGTTGTTAAAAATACACATTGCTAACTCTGCTTCCCATTAGTAGAGAGCTTTACATATGTACTTGATATAAAGTAAATTAGAAAGAAAACAGCAAAGATAGATTTGTCTCTTCCAAGTTTCATTATGACAAGAGATTACCTCTAGGCCATTTTCACGCGGTCATGGAAATAGCACAATGGCATATCCAAATGAGAATCTCACAGACTGTGGCAAAATAATTAAAGCCTTTTGGTCACTTAATCCAAAGACTAAAATCATATTCCTGTCTCTCAAAGCACACAGTTTTCTTCTGAGTCTATTAGGATCATAACCCAAAGTTAATAGATGTTGATACTGCTATAAAAAAGATCATTTCCAACAAGTAAGTTAAATGTGCCAATTTACTATTTTCCAGAAAAGAGAGTAAGAGACTTGTATTTTGCTTCAGTTTTCAAAGATACGAAAAAAAAAATAGTATTTCTCAATCACAAAGATTTAAATTTTGACTATCAAATTTGGCAAAACTTAGAGTTCCAAGGTTTGCATTTTTTGTCAGTGGACAAAATTAGTTCACCTCGCTGACATTTGAAAAGCTATTCAGACAACTAGTTACCAAAATGGTGCACCTCTACAGCTTCAGAACCCTAGAAATAAGTTGATAACTGACTTGACCCCCTTTGCATTTACTTAGCCTTTCACTCTCTGCACATGTTTCATGTGGTTTTCATTTCAGCGGGGTTTTACACATATATTATTTATTTGAAAGGCAGAGTGACAGAGAAAGAAAGCAATCTCTCATTCACCTGTTCACTGCTCAGATACACCCAAAGGCTGAGGCTGGTCAGGCTGAAACCCAGAAGGCAGAACTCTGCCTGGATCTACCACATGAGAGGCAAAACGCCAAGGACTTAGACCATCATTACTATGTCCACTTTAGCAAGAAGTTAGAACCAAGAATCAAAGCCCTAATTTGAACCAAGACACCCCAAACGGATGTCAGCAAGGTCTTGACAAGTGTGTTAAGTGCTTGTCCCGTAGTGGTTTTAATGCAAGTAGAGATATTTAAAAAAAACTTTTAGAGAGAGCAGTCATTAGAAGAAGAGTAATTTGAATACTTCTGCAAATTCCAGGTTGTCAAATGTCAACCCATTCATTCAATAAATGTTTATTCATGTCTCCTAAGTACTTTTAAATGCTCATCACTCTTTAGGACACTAGACTGGTTCAGAAATGCACATTTCTCCTTATCTCCCTCAAATTTCTCCTTATCTCTGCCTAGATGACATTCAGTGCAGGTCAAATAGCACTGTCTCCAGAAAGCCACCTCTGATTCCACAGAGGAGTGATGAATGGGTTAACGTTTGATAACCTGGAATTTGTAGAAGTACTCAAATTCTTCTTCCTCTAATGACTACTCTTGAAAAGATCATGTTTAATATCTCTGAGTGTATTTCACAGAAACAAGGGAGTGAGGCTGATGTGTTGCTACTCTATGTTCAGTGCTAGGCATGTGAATAAACATCATGGATGAGGCTATATGGTAATTGTGAAGAACACTCTCTTAATTATCTATACAAATTTTCTATCCATACAAGAGAATCCTTCTGTTGTACCGTACTGCCATGAATTTTCCAAGATGGGACAACGACAAAAAGATGACCACTTCAGAGGCCAGCATTTATCCATATACTTTGAAACCATGCATTGTCAGGGGATAAGCCTGCTTTAAGTGGATCTTTATTCCCAGGACTCTTGAGGTAGCCACATACTCCATTGGAAAACCCTTAAAAATACCAAGACACAGGCTCTCCTGGTCACAACTCATAATGTGGAACTGGGGAGGACCCTTTAAGAATGAATAAATGCTGTCCTCAGAGTAGGGGAATTGGAAATGATATTTGGGAATCAGAGCCTCCCAGGGGAAGACATTAACCCTAAATCCATTCACACAGATGTCCCCTTAATTAGGTATGAGGAGAGAAAATCAACTGGAGGCCAGAAGCCCTGACCTTTGCACCTTCACAAGACTTCCCACATTTCAACATCTGGCATCAAGTAAACCTTGGTGTAGAATTAACTTACAGTATAAAAATCACCAAGTTGGTATGGTCTTCCTTTTCTTCGTCCACTTTGGTGACTATAAATGCCCTTTTGAATAAATGGAAGCACATTTGTTCTAGAAATGGGAAAAGGAAGTACAATTACTCAGCTTCTCTCCAAAGTACACTCTCCCAAGAGTTCTGACAGTGTCTTATGTCATACCTATTTTTCCCAAATTGCCGATACTCATAAATTGTAAGGGACTGGTCATGGATAAAAAAGAATCCTATTAGCTCTCTGCAAGCATTACGTCCATTTCTAGAAGAAAAAAAAAAAAGAAAGAAAGCAGAAGGATATCAAAGATTTTCAAATAGAATTATTTTGAAGTCAAATACTAAACTAAACTTGTACACATCACAAAACAATGGTATAACTCCCTTGAACATGTGGCAATGAGTACAGGCTCTGAAGCTGCCCGGAAAGTCCAACACAGCTCCTACAAACAACATCAGCTTAAGTAAGATTTACATGAAACATTGTTGAGTTTGGTATCAGCATTGTGGAATGGTGAGTTATTCTGTTGTCTGCGACACCAGCATCCCATAGGAGAGCTGATTTAAGTCCTGGCTGCTCCACTTGCAATACAGCTCCTTGCTAACGTGCTTCGGAAAGTAACAGAAGATGGCCCAAGTGATGAGGTCCCTGCCACCCACGTGGGAGACACAGATGCAGCTCCTGATGCCTGATTTCAGCCTGACCTACTCCTAATTGTTGAAGTCATTTTGGAAGCAAACCAGCAGATGAAAGACATCCCTAATTCCCACTTTCTCTTTGCAACCCGGCCTTTTGTCTAAGCAAATAGTTGTTAAAAACATTGAGCTTCAAGAAAACACTGAAAGATACATATATATTTATTATCTTTTGAGTAGAAATGTTAAAATCAATCACTGAAAAAGTATGATAATTTAAAGATACATATGTAAATAACATACACAATGAACTTCAAGTGATATTATGCATTACTTAGTTTTTCTAAGAGTGAAATAATACTCCACCTCTGATTCAGCTTCCTGCTTATGGCCAGGAAGAGCAGTGGAGCATGGCCCAAGTCCTTGAGTTCACCCACATGAGAGACTTGGAAGAAACTCCTGGCTTCTGGATTCTGGCTTCAGATCGACTCAGCTCTAGCCATCGTGGCCATTTGGGGAATGACCAGATACAAGATCTTTCTCACCTGTCTCTTCCTCTCTCTTCTCTGTGAATCTGCCCTTCCAATAAAAATAAATAGCTAAGCTAAATCACTGTTTGGAGGCTAGTATCCCATATCAGAGTACCTGTTGGAATTCAAGCTGCTCTGCTTCTGATCCAGCTTCCTGCATGGAAAGGCATCCGAGGATGGCCCAAGTACTTGGGTTAATGGTGCCATGGGGAACACCAGGATGGAGTACCTGGCTCCTGGCTCTGGCCTTGCCCTGACCTGGTTATAACCATTTGGGAAGAAACCAGTGGATATAAGATCTCTATGTTTCTATCTCTTCCTACCACTCTGCCTTTCAAATAAATCTTTAAAACAAACAAACAAACAAAAAAACATCTTCCTGAAAAGATTCTGAATGCTCCACCATCAGCATGACAAATGTTTGAGGAGTTACATGTGTGTTTACCCTGATTTGAACATTTCATGTTTCAAAATATACATAAGCATGTATAATTTTATGTGTCAGTTAAAACTGTTATATAATTTAAAAGGTCATCCTACTTATAATTATTCTATCTACAAATAAGCTGTGAAGTGTATGCCCTTAAGATGAAATGAAATAAAATTATATGTGTGAGTTAATATTTAAGTGCTTGAAAAACTTTGGTAGTAATATGTACCTTTAAAATTCATTTCTGGGGCCCAATGTGATAGCCTAGCTGCTAAAGTCCTTGCCTTGCATGTGCCAGTTCTAATCCCAGCAGCCCACTTTCCATCCAGCTCCCTGCTTGCAACCTAGGATGGCAGTCAAGGACAGTTTAAGGTCTTGGGTCCCTGCACCTGTGTGAGAGACCCAAGGGCTCCTGGTTTCAGATTGGTGCAGCTCCAGCTGTTGGGGCCTCTTGGGGGGGATAATCAACAGACAGAAGATCTTTCTGTCTCTCCTCCTCTCTATATATCTGACTTGCAATAAAAATATATAAATCTTTTTAAAAAAATCATTTCTGGGTTGGGCATTTGGCCTAGTAGCTAAGCTGTCCATGGTGGCACCTGTATGCTGTGCTAGAGTGCCTGTGTAAGGATTCTGGCTCAGCTGCAGGTTAAGGCTTCTTGGTGATGCACAGTCCAGGGAGCAGCAGGTGCCGGCACAGGCTCTTGGCTTCCTGACACCCACATGGGCGATCTGGACAGAGTTTCAGTCGGCTGGCTCCTACCAACTCAGCTCTGGTCATTGAAATCATTTACAGAGAGAGAGAGACTTGGTAGGTAAGACATATCAAAGTTTTGATTCAAAAAACATTTAAAATCACTCTAAAATTTTTAAATAAGGCATTTTCTTACAAATGCATGCTTCGTGTGTTTTCATATTGATTTAACAACCATTAAGCAAGAATATTTTTCTTAATTTTGTATTTTTATTTAAATTGAGACTAATTTGCTTAATCCATTAAAAAGAGAATATACTTTTATGATCATAGAATCAAAATATTTAATGAAATCACAATTACCTTGATATGATCCTACCATCAAATTGAACTTTATGAGAAAGCACATTTTCAGTTAATGCAGAATGGGTTCTTATCCTGTTTTAAAAAAAACATATATTCTCTCAGTTAATTTTAAAGCTGCTAATAATAAATATGCAAATAAGAGTATATTCATATTTCACAACAGCATAGATAAAGATGAAAGTCTAAAACTCTGGTGCTGCTACAGGATGATCCAGAAGGCTTCAATTTCCCTATAGAATTTGTCATTAGGGGTAATTAAGGCAACCAGTTCTGCCCAGGTGCTTCCAGAAACACTTCTATCCTGACAAGAGAGTGGCATGAGAAACATTCCTACCATTCAGGATGTTGATGCTAGGAGCCTTCCTCGGGCAACCATGGCAGAAAGGCCAACCTCTGCCATCATAGAACCGCTGAACCAAAACTCACAACGCCCTACCCCCAAGCAGCTGGCTACATAAAAAAAAATTAAGCCACTATCAATCAGAGTTTCAATTATGAATAACTAAACACATGACTGACCAAAAAAAAAATCAAAATAGTGGAAAAATGCTGGATAAAGTTTGATTCATCAATCCGTTGGCATTTATGATTGTAGACAATACTAATTGACCTCATAAAGACTGCCAGCTGTGTTTTACAATATGTAGCAAAACCCAAATGCACCCACTTTTTGTAACTCTACTAGTAGTAATTGTATGTATCTTAAGATATTTTGAGATCAATGATGTACATTTCCTTCTCCTCCCAAATACTTTTTAGGATATTCAACCCTTGAATCTGCAGGTGTGATAAACTGGCAAAAATATTGACATAAATTTGTATCTAGGTGAGGGGTATCTTGAAAAAGTATACCTCTATGAATTCTAGGTTTCTAAGAAAAGGAGGGCCAAAAAAGGCAAAAGGAGACTGTGAACCAATGAGAGTTTGCAACAGAGGGAAGGCAAAGCATAGTCACCTTGATTTCCTTTAAACCACTGGCATTACAGTGTGTACTGAATGCCCACTGTGTGCCTGGAATAATTCTAAATGCCGAGGAAATAATAGCAACAATAACAGTTACCCTTCATTGAGACCCTTCTAGACAACAGTCATTGCTAAAATCACTTTAATGTGTGTTGGTGTGTTTAATGTTTGCAATAACTCTACAAAGTAAGTATTATTATCCCCATTTTAGAAACACATTTTATAGGGGCTGAGACAGGTTAAGAAAATTGCCCAAGGCCTTACAATCAGTAAATGGCAGAGCAACAAAAAAGCTTGCTCTTAACCATTACATTATATTGCTGAGTCTCAGTGGTAAACAGAACTCACTTTAACAACATGTTGAAGTAATAGCTTCAAGGACCCTTGAGTCTTCTTGAAAAGATAAAAGAAGCAAATATGCATTTAGATCATAAAATGCAAAATACCATGTTAGGTCTTAGGAAATCTGATAAGCACCACAAAATACTCGTCATTACGGAAGTTCTTACAGAAGGAAAAATAAGGCATGTTGAAGGCAAAACTATGACTTTTATTAATGCTAAACCTGTTGGAAACTACAGCTTTGCCATGTGACAATAGGAATTTAAGTCATTTACATTAGAATCAATATCATTTCCATTGGGGATGGGACCCGTAAGATTTAATGGAAGTTGGCCCAACACCTAGTTGGCCTAACAGCTAACGTTCGCGCCTTGCATTCACCAGGATCCCCATATGGACGCCAGTTCGTGTCTTGGTGACTCCACTTCCCATCCAGCTCCCTGCTTATTGCCTGGTTAAGATGCCCAGTGCCTTGGGACCTTGCACCCACATAGGAGACCTGGAAGAAGCTCCTGGCTCCTTGCTTTGGATTGTTCAGCTCCAGGAATTACAGCCATTTGTGGAATGAACCAAATGATGAAAAATCATTCTGTCTCTCCTTCTCTCTGTAAATCTGTCTTTCCAATATTAATAAATAAATAAAAATAGGTAAATCTGTGCAGGAAACAGATGACGAACCTAAAAACTTTGGAACCAATCATTCATTTATAATAATCAGACATCTGACTTAGTGCCACAACACACTAGAAAGATGGAAACTTTGAGCTTTTTTAAAGACAAAGACCAATAATGGCATGGGAGTTGTTTGGTAAATTGGTCTACATTAAAATTACAAACCCTTGCTTCTTTTAGAAAGAACTAGAAATTCCTGTTTCTAATTTCAGTGCTTAGGAAAGGTGTTAAGTGGCAGAACGAAAGGTGGCCACAGTCTAGGAAAAATATGTACACAAATATTGAAGAACCTAGGTGTTTTCTGCCTTTTGTGATTCTGCCTTAATTGCTTGGCTGGGGGCTGTGTGAACTGCAGACCTGTCTATGTGACACCCAGCAGGACACCTGGCAGGTCATGTAGGCAGAACACTGCTCAGGAAGGAGGTACCTGGTGTTTGATAAGATTTACTGCCCTAAGGCTCATCGATTTGTACTTTTTGAAAGTTGCTTGTTTCAAATCCACCAATAGAAGTCTGCTAAATCATGACTGTATAATTAATAGCCTAAAATGTATAAGAACGCTGGGTTGTTCAACCAGGGGGCTCTTGCTCACTAGCTCTCTCTCCTCCTTTGCCTCGGCTGCCCCTCCCCATGCTGGGCCCCTCCCTCTGTCCTCAAAGCCAGACATGACTGACAATGTCACTTATGTCTCTTATCGCATAAGAGAACATATTCACATGTTCCAAGGATTAGGATGTACATAGCTTGTCATCATTTCTCTTCCACAGTCCAAACTTTCTGGTTTTTTTTTTTTTTTTGAAATAAACTTTTATTGAGTTAAAAGATACAGGCACAGTACATACATGTACTTAGCAGGAGGCAAGGAAACAGATTCTACCCTGAATGTCTAGAAGTAGTACAGCCCTAGTAGCAATGGGAGATAGGGCTTCCTGTCCCCACAACTGTGGGAGATTAAATGCCATTGTTTTAAAATACTACGTTTGTGATCCTTTGTCAGCAGCAGTAATAGCACTTAATACATGATGACTTCAAATATTTAAAGGTAGGAAAGAAAACTAAGATTTTCAGAAGTTAAGGAGATAAAAAGACAAAAGTAATGAGACAGCGCTAACAACCATTCACTTGAAAATGTAAGAATTACTATGGGCACTGGTAGATTTTCCTATTATAACTGTGACTAGATGTCAGCTACTAGTCAAGCTAGGTTAAGTGGACTGGAAGGCAGGACAACAAAAGCCTATACTAACCATAGCTTTTATACCCTACAATATAAAAACACAAAAAGAATCATCAAACTTTTGTAAGTAATTATAATTTTAATATATCAATGAGATTTATATAGTATAAATGGCACACATACAAATATATCATTTGTAACATTGTACATGTTCACATGTGGAGTTTTTAAAATGCTCATGGAATATATGTATTATAAAAACATACATTTGCCACCAAAATAAATACATTTTCCTTCTATTTCTACCACTTGTCTCTGAAGTGCCCTTGAAAATTATCTCTGACGGCTATGGTTTTTTTCCCTAAATTGCAAATTAAAAAAAACTGAAGGAAAAAGTGAATAGACTATGGTATTGATCCTAATAGCTTAAGATGGGAGAATTAGGATCTGAATTCCAAAAAATCAACTTCTATTTATATAGAAGGAAGAAGAAGAAAGAAATGAACAAAAAACCCCACAAAACAAATGCCAAAACTTTTTCAGTTAGATAGTAAAGAACATTTTAAAAACACATTCATGACATAATGAGTCTTATGAAAAATAGCCCTACTTTGTTTCATGTAGCGTTCTTTTTCTAAGGCGAAGAGGTGTCACCTTTGAATCTGGAGGAATGCATGCACCTTCTTGTTTCTCAGGGGTTAAATTTTGCTCTGGATCACTGATCACAGCCCTGTAAGGAAACAGGAATTCTAACAATGAAATGTGATAGCAGGGGCAGGCCTTTGTAGAGCAGTGGCAAAGCTACTACTTAGAATGCCCACATTGCACGTCAAAGTGTCTGTGATATGTAGTCTCACCTCCCTTTCTGATTCAGCTCCCTGCTAATGAATCCAGGGAGATAATGAGTGGATGAAGGCTCAAGTGCTTGGGCCACAGCCACCCATGTGGGAGACCCAGATGGAGTTCCTGGCTCCTGGCCCAGCCCTGGCTGCTGCAGACATTTGGGGAGTTGAAGATTTCTCTCTCTGCCTCCCCTCACACACATAGCTCATATATATATATGAGCTATATATATATATATATATATATGTATGTATATATATATATATATGTATGTATATTTATTTTTTTAAGTAGAAAGAGCTAATAGTAACCTTACAATGAACAAGGAGATTTAATTAACAATGTAAGGAATATGCAAGTCACCTTGTGGTTTTGGTTTGTCATTGCTTATAATGATAGAGAAGATGAGCAGGCTATCTTTATATTCTCACATGCTCCCCTTACCCAGCTTGTATTTCATGATGAATCAAAACATACATTTCTACACATCCTGAGCAATCTTGCCTTCTCTTATTTTTGTCCCTCTTATTTTTGTGCCTAGAAATGCCTTAAGTCTACATGGACTTGATGATTGACCAGCTGAAAGAACAGATGACTAGATGTTTCTTAAAATGGATTCATGAGGCTTCAAAAACTATGGAAATAAAATAACAATTATATATAGAAGAATTCATGAATTCAGTGAATTTTTCCAGTAGCTACAACATTCAAGAAAAAGTTTTAGGTATTTCCATCACATACTGTAGACCCAATTTATTTGTGTGCAGGGTGAGCACAGTAGGGAAGCAGGGGAAGCAGGGGAGTGAAGGAAGTGGGTTTGTCTCCCTGGAACTGTACCTATGCAATGCATAAAATCTTCATACTAATGAAAAGGAAAACCCAAAATGAGCATTAAGATAATTTTTAAGCTTCCTCAATTTAAAAACTGGTATTTAATAAATCTGTCACATACTTTACCAATTTCATATATAATATACGCAGAATGTTAATTATAATACATCCTAATGTTCTTTTGGCAGAGACAAAATCAAGATAGATGCAGAGGAGAAAAATGTGACTGTTCAATTACATTTAGCTTCCTAAATGGTTCTAAGATTTGAGAGACTATGTAGCAGCCAAATGATGCAAATAGCCCACTAGCAAGCAATTATGCAATTAAAGAGAGAAATGAAAAACTTTTTAAGATTATGTATATTATTTTTCATTTACTACATTTTTTTAGGAAACTAAAGCTTATTTGGACAAAAAGTACAGTACATACAAGTGTTAGGCATTTCTGTCAAAGAGTATTCTGGAAAAAGAAATTAGTGAACTACTAAAAGTATAGTGAACAAAGGCTGGGTAACTCTGAGTCAGCCACTCATTGATTGACCAAGGATATGCAATGTAAACAGGCTCCATCAGGCCGCTCACCGAGACAGGAGGTCGGTCATCACTTGCTCTGCAACTGTCTGTTTCTTCTTCTCTGTAGCCACTATCTCCTGAGAAGATGAAAAACCAAAAAAGGCAACTTTATTATTCCTAAAGCAGTGTAATATAATAGCTCTTACTAAAGAGCTATGCAAAAGCATAACTTGAAAATTTCCAACTTCTTTCTTAAAAATAGATTAGTACCTGTCATTAATAAATTTAACTTCCAACTATTTAACCTGCAAAATGGATTGTAATCAGCTCTCCAAAAAATACTAACATACAAAGTTCCTCCCAATTGGGACCTGGGGCAGTGTCATAACCACATCCCTTTCAAATCAATTAAGAACCCATACCACGGAGTAGCTTTCTCTCTCTGTCTCCCTCTCTGAACACAGATGAGGTCTAGTCATTAAAATGTTTCATCTTTTCTTAAAAGGGACACATTTATTTATTTAAAGATAGTGGCAGACAGAGGGACAGAGAGATAAAACAGATACCTTTTATCCCCAGATGCCTGTAACAGCTAGGGCTGAGCCAGGCTGAATCAGCCAATGGTCCTTATTGATACCACTTGTTTCTAATATAACCTCAAGAACAGATCAACAGATTGAGGCAAGCCTTATGTAAAATACTACTTTGTTTCATCACATAGTGTTTTGGCATGAAAAGGATCTTGAAGAGGGAAAAATGTGTAATGAATGAGAAAAGACGAGAGAAACCAGTTTTTGAAAGCGGGGTAGGGTAGCTGCTGAAATCTTCTCATCCAGAGATAAGACAATGTATGTCTCGGAAGCTTTTATTTTGGGGGCATCCATACTATATGCTGGTTTGATTCCCGCGAGGACCTTTGGTTTACTGACTAATCACCACCCAGCCTACAGGGCCTGGGTGGGATCCTCAAAGGCCAGAGGAAGGAAGAGCGCAAGACTCTCCCATCAGTGATCTCAGGAGTGTGTGCTGCCAAGACTCTAGGCTTGTGGACCACAAACCCTGTCAATGCAGGATCATCTCGACAGCTTTTCATCCTCAGCTATTTGGTACTAATCTCTGTCCTTCTCTGGCTTGCTGAATTCTTTCCTTAATGACTTGTGGCATCCAAACCTACCGTGTTCACAGCTGCCTCTGAGAGCTTTGGCTTTTGCCCCACCACTGCCACACAGGCAGCCCTTGACAGAGTTTGTTCTTATAGTATTCCTGCCTGAGGCAGTAACACTCTTGGTCTATGAAGCCTAAATCCTAACATAATATCTAAGTAAGAACTATGTAACAAATTTTCAGCCTTGGATACCCACAGAAGAGATTGGTTGCACTTTGCTGTTAATTGGAAGCAGGTTGCTTTTGGATGATTGTGACTCCAATAAAATAAATACATAGAATTTCCTCTCATCAGTAATGATAATGTACCTAGTTAAATCTATTCTGCTTTATTATGTAGGCTACATAGATGAGCATATTCCTGATCTTAGCACACCAATCCCTCCAGGTACTCCTAAGGTATTAATCACCCTAGGGTGCCAAGTGTGGCCAGGGGACTTCAATTTCAGGCAGTTTGCTTCCTTTGTGCCAACACACCACAGAATTGGCCTAATTCTTTGTATGTAGCAGAATTGTTCTAAACAACACTCACAAACTCAACAGATTTTGTGAAAGATATAATGCACAGTTCATATTGAGAGGCTCGAGTTTTGTTTTACTTTTCTTAAAGAAACGTTATTTCATTCTTGGCCTTTCTCTCACCTGAACTGCTCTAATACAGTAGTATATGAGTTTCAAAAACATAAAATAACCAGACCACTTTGGGGGAAAGAGCAATGACAAATAAGCCTCCTAATATAGATGGCAGACAATTCTCATGATACAAACTATTTTCCATCAGACTCTCACAAACTCAAGATAATTTTTAAACATAAAACATGAAACACAAACATTCCCTTTCATAAATGAGGATTGAATTTGCACACCAATATTCACATCAGATGATATTGTCCAGGTAGAATTATTGCAGTTATTTTTCAGTTGCAAGTCTGTAAAGTCTTGGAAAGCACAGTCTCTCAATGGCTGACAGAGTAAACACAAATTCCGATTGATGACTCACTGCATTTGATTTTCTCAGGCTGAGTTGTGCACCATAGGGGCTTTCTGCAAAACCTTGCTGTAAGAGGGCTTTCCTGTCCAGAGCGGTGAGGCCGTTCGGGCTGGCTTCTTTGCCTTGTGCACACTATTAAGTGAAAGCAACAAATGGATTGTTACACACGTATTCCAAATGTTTACTTTTAAGACAATATAGACATGAGTAATTACTTAATGTTACAGTAATGACTTGTGTAGGCAGGAAGAGTACAGGTTCTGACCATGAGATTACCTGTGTCTGAATCCAGCTCCTTCATTTTCAAGTTACAAGACCTCTCTGAGCCTCTGTGAACTCACAGATAAAATGGAAATGCATCATAGAAACTATTACAGCAAGAAGAGCATTAGATAGGATATATCCAACAGTTATAATGCATCTTTGACACACAGCGGTTATTAAATAAGTATAACAGCTGTTGTAATGTTTTATCCATGCTGCGTTTTTGTAAAATTGTTAAGCATGACATGTCCATTCTATTATAAAACTAAATTCAGAAATAAAGCACTGCAAAACGCGAGAGGGAGAAAAAAAAAAGCTTAAAATAAACCAGGGACCATTAAAACTACACAATGCTTAAAACTACAAAACACTAACTCTGACTTAACAAAGTTAGGTTGCAAAGTAACAACCACAGGTGACAGAGAGAAAAATAAATTGAGTTTCTTCTAGTGGTCCCAATGATAAGTGAAGACACGATACATATCTGCAGGCTGTATGTTTGCTACAAGAGACTGTACCCAGAATGAAGAAGCCCTGTAACTCTTCATGGAAGAATGAACAGCCTAACTTAAAAATGGCTGGAAATAAATATGAAAGGAGTGAGTCGTACAGATCTAAGGTAGACTCTAATTAAGAATTCTAAACTGTATATTTGAAATTTGCAAGGCATGTAGATCTTAAGATGTCACTACAAAAAACAAAAGAGCAAAAGGCTTCAATGACCCACACAGACATTTCTCAGGAGACCAAAAAGCCCCGGAAAAGATGTTCACCATTACCCTGCCCTCCAGCTGCTTTCCTGGGGACTGTTGAGGCATATGTGACTTTGTCTTTTCTGAATTTCTCTGGCTATCCTGTTCATATCCTTCTTTCATTTCAGCCTCATGTTCTTGATACTTCAGTTTGTATTTGCTTGATGGTGCTGGCAGATTTTCAGCTGTTACATCCTGGTCCTAGAGATAAAAAAAGAAAAACAGGCTGTTCAACAGCTAAGGAGATCTAAATAATTATTCTTTTTCTTATTGACATTAACAGGTTTAGTATTTCCCTAAGCTTGTATGTCTAAGAAACAAATCATCATAATCGTGTTCTAAATGGAGGTGGTATTTACAATACGTAGCTGCACAGCACCGTGGACGGACCCGGGCACACAGGATGCCGCAGCTTGGGCAGTGACTGAGAGAAGACAAAGTCCTCCAGAAGGACCACACCGTGCCCGCTCGCATCAGACAGTGCTGAGGAGGGCCAGGTCTCCCACCGGAGGAGAGGAGTCAGCCAGTCCTTCAGGGGAAGACTGGTAGGTAGACTCAGGCCAACCAAGAGAAGAATTTCTTGGATTCAAATAAATATGTGCTGTACAAAGTGGACCATCTAAAAAATCATCCCAAGAAGAAAATTAAACGATATTGCATTTTACATGTAAAATGGTTTGTATGCTTTTATGTTAAATAATGAGTAAAAATTACCTCATCATCAGAGGCAGCAAGGCTTCCCAAATCAAGTCGTGGGACCCTGAAAGAAACAATCCACAGGACTGTCAGAGTTGAATAATGTTGGCTACAGCCCACATTACCAGGGTACACTTAGCAAGCGCTGGGCTGCCTTGCCATAGGCCATTGTAAAACTGGAAAAACTAAGCCTATTAAGTCTGTACCTCTCATGTAATAGTTGGCTCAAAAAACAAACAAACAAACAAACAAAAAACACCTGAGGAAATAGTTTTTTCAACATTCAGAAGTGTTATTTAATCAACTTAGCAAAGAAATCACTCCAGCAAATGACAGTACCAGTCAGTAGTTCACTGAAATTTTCCTGACTTGCAACTTACCACTATAGGGTGATTTTAGTTAGAATGCAACAACAACCAAAAAAAAAAAAAAAGGAGAGAGAGAGAGAAAATAAATACACAAAACAGCAAAGCATTCTAAGAGAATAAAGTATGCAGAATCCAAATGAATAATTTAGAAGTTTTTTTATTAACATTTGTATAATTCTTGATATACATACTTTATAGCAGTAAACATTATAATCAGCATGAGATGTTCTTAAATTCATTTTGAGTAAGTAAAATTTATGATAAATTTATAATATACTTTTCAGAAAAAACAGTTGTTAACTATTTACAAGCATACAGATGTCTCCAAACCCTGAACCTAACTCTTTTCTTATGGCTAGATTAGGATGTGAGAACATATTTTGTAGACTCACATGAAAATAGGGACATTAGCTTGTATTTAGTCTACAAAAATGGCAATGTCACCTAGCATAGTGATTGCTATTTTTGATTTGTGTTTTCCAATTAGCTCTGTCACCTGAAATTCTTGAAAGATTATAAAGATCATTCATTTCAAATGCTAAAAGGCAAAAATACAGAAAGATAAAACATAACGTATTCTAAACTAAAATGGAACTCTGAGACTGACAAAATGATCATATTCCTTAGGCTCAGAGCACAAATATTTGCAACTTAAAGTATAACAATTATAATTGTAGTGAAAATTGTATTTCCTTAATCAATATATTTGCATTTTCTAAATAAACATTTATCTCTTTTGAGAAAATGTAAGAATAGTATTAGCAAAAATAAAAACAGCCAAAATTACCTATAATCTATTGTCATATTGCAAGAGGTATTTTCATTCTGGCACAGTAGTTTTTAAGCCATCAGTACATGTATGGAGTTTTCTGTAGTTCACAATCATAGACATATACATAATTTTTTCATTTCTCAATATATAATAAATATTTGCCTATTCACCAGTTCAAATATAAGAAATGTGACTCACACAGGTGGGGAAGTATTCGGAACCACCCAGGGTCCAGAAGTCCATCCCTGCTTTAATGCAAAAATGGAAAATTAAAATCAGTTTTATAGTCCTTCAATGTTTAAAGAGTTAGTGGACCGGAGTGAGCCAATCCACTGTGGTTACTTAGGATTTTTTCCCAGAATGCTCCAAGTAACAGACACTGAGTAAGAAAAGCTTCTACTTTCAAAGAAAATTTAAGTGCATCCTTAACAACAACAAAAACTGCTTCTGCCGGAAATGATGTCTCTTGAAACCACTGACAAGAGTTACCACATGGAAAGGGATAAAGCCGCAGTGTGAATACTTAGCTCAGGCATTATTTGCACGAAGAAAGGTAATTACACACCATTCTTTTTTTTTTTTTTTTCAAGATTTTTTTTTTTGAAAGACAGATGTTGCAGAGAAGGAAAGATAGAAAAGCAGATGTTCAATCCACTAGTTCACTCCCCAGTGGCTGTAACAGCTGGAGATGAACAGCTCCAAAGCCAGGAGCTTGGAGCTTCCTCCAAGTCTCCCACAAAGCTTCTCCACGCCACAAGCAGAGAACTGCTTGGAAGTGGAGCCTCTGGGACTTGAACTGGCGCACCTCTTGTGTGTCAGCACCACAGGCAGAAGCTTAGCTATGGTGCTGGCCTCACAGCAGCCACTTTTTTTGAAGAACTTAAATCTTGAGCTTTCTCTTAAAAATGACCAGGAAACAAACTGAAGCTTACACGACATGAAATGCAAGTAACAGAGTGAGGAAGCCTGCGGTGCAGAGCGTCGCATTTTGGCTGAAAGGGGGCACGTTAACAAACTTCGAGGCTTTCAGTAACTTCTGCATATAACAGAGGTGGTTTCATCCAGCCGAAAAAACAAGTCAGAACTAGAGTTCAAAATCCTGGAGGATTAGCTAATTGAGCTATTGCTCCAGACCCAAACATCTACATTTTTAAGTACACGATCCTCATCAGCCTGGCTACCTTCTCTAACATTTTTGCCTATTAAAATTCTGAACCGGGCCCAGCGGCGTGGCCTAGCGGCTAAAGTCCTCACCTTGAATGCGGCAGGATCCCATGTGGGCGTCTTTTCTAATCCCGGCAGCTCCACTTCCCAACCAGCTCCCTGCTTGTGGCCTGGGAAAGCAGTTGAGGACGGCCCAAAGCTTTGGGACCCTGCACCTGTGTGGGAGACCTGGAGGAAGATACTGGATCCTGGCTTTGGATCGGCACAGCACCGGCCTTTGAGCTCACTTGGGGAGTAAATCATCGGACAGAAGATCTTCCTCTCTGTCTCTCCTCCTCTCTGTATATCTGATTTTCCAATAAATAAATAAATCTTTAAAAAAAATTCTGAACCAAGGATGGCACTGCGGCATAGTGGGTAAAGTCACTTTCTGCAACACCAGCATCACATCAGACACTGATTTATATTCCAGATGCTCTGCCTCTGGTCCAGTCCCTGCTAATGGCCAGGAAGACCGAAGGTGGCTCAAATACTTGAGCCACTGTAGCTCCTGGCTCCTGGCTTCAGATCTGCCCAGCTTTGGCCATCATGGCCATTTGGAGAATGAACCAACAGACAGAAGGTCTCTCTCCCTCTGTAACCCTCTTTCAAATAAATAAATAAATAAATCTTTTTTTTAAAAAAAAAAATTCTGAATATTTTCCAATGGTTACAGATGCCACTCCTCATTCAATCCTTATCTAATCCCCACATCTAATACTCACTCTACTTTGAAACTTCATACTTATTAATGTATTTCTTTTTTTAATAGATTTTTACTTTGAATTTTGAATTTTGTGGTACAATTTTGTGTAGGCTGGGATTCCCCTCAAACTCCCACCCCCGTCAGATTTTCCCATTTTGTTACAATAGTGTAGTCCTTCATAAGGAATCATAATTCCATCAGTCTCTTATTTACGTGTACCCAGACATTGTTGGTGTAGACAATGTCAGACAGTCCAGCATCCCATTGTCTACACATGTCCAACAGTTTCATTGGGAATCCATCTTTCATCTGAATGCAGGGATGCATGTTCCATTATACCCCCATGTCTGTATATGACACCAGTACTCCATCACTATATATTACCATAAGTGCAAACTATATATGTATACCAAACTTAGTATGTATTTCTATAGTTGAATGTAACACTGTTACATTCTGTTATACACTGTTATAACTATTACCTGTAAGACTCAAGGCTTCGTCTCTTGATTTTTACATCTTTAGCCTATATTATTGTGCTAGGAATATTGTAACAATAAGATAAATAAATCTAAAAACAACAAAAGAGTGGTTTAAGGGCCCAGCACAGTAGCCTAGTGGCTAAAGTTCTCGCCTTGCAAACACCAAGATCCCATATGGACACTGGTTCATTTCCTGGCTGTTTCACTTCCCATCCAGCTCCCTGCTTGTGGCCTGGGAAAGCAGTAGAGCATGGCCCAAAGCCTTGGGACCCTGCGCGTGCGTGGGAGACCCAGAAGATCTCCTGGCTTTAGATCGGCTCAGTTCTGATGGTTGTGGACACTTGGAGAATGAACCAGCAGATGAAAGATCTTTCTCCCTGTCTCTCCTTTTCTCTACAAACCTGGCTTTCCAATAAAAATAAACAAATCTTTAAAAAAAAAGATGGTTCACAAAGTAATATATTCCACTTACAATAGTGTGCCAATTATGGATAAATCCACCAAATTATTAATGGGCTGTATCCAAATGATGGAAAGGCAAACATTTTCTTCGTTCCTTTTTATATACTTTATTTAGATGTACAGATAATTCCAAAAAATGAAACAAAAACTTAATTTTTAAAAAGAAAATTTAACTCAAGCATTGGTGAGTTTTAAAGTAAGGATTATATTCAATTTTGGTGTTTCCACTATTCAAATCTAGAAAATCTTGATCCTAAGTATTTCTGAGTATAAGCAATTGTAAACATGTGAAGGGCGGACTGGAAAACTGCTGCCGAATCACCCTGCAAGAGCAAGGCGATAGAGCTTGCTTACTTGTAGGGAGCGTCTTCCAGGGAATGGCTGGGTTTGCCTCGTAGGAGAAGCAGCAACTTCTTTAATCGTCAAATCCATTCAAGCTCATGCAAATATCATGCAATATCCTTTAAAAAAAGGTAAACATGGCAGAACTGATTCTAAATTCAAACGAGTCGTACAAGTTACAATACATTCATCTACAGAAAAGAAAAACTCACGATTTGCCACTTTTGCTTTTCATGAAAACTCACATATTAATAAGGTAATCACACTATGCCCTATGATATTCAATCACGCCTTCCCACAGTTTCCCATTTTCCGTCCCTGGACTCTGTAAATTTGTGGCTTTGAATGTCAAAGGGGCCTCTTCAGGTGCGATGAAGCATTCTGAGCAGGGGAGAGTCTCCTGGACGAGGCAGTGAGCTCTGTGCCACCGCCAGGATCCTTACCTGAGCAGGACTGGAGAGCATCAAGCTGAGAGCAGCAGAGATGCTAAGGGGCAGCCTGACAGGACCGGCAGGCAGGAGCGCCCCCTGCAGGCTCCACGGGGAACCGGCTCTGCCTAGGACTGCCAGAGTTCGGCCCCAAGACTCATTTTCTATTTCTAACCTTCAGAACTGCTAAAGAACAAATGGACGTTGTTTTACACTGGTGCATTCATGAGAATTTTGACCAGTAATGATAAGAAAGTAAGGCTAGCCTCTCTTGTCTACCACAGGGAGGTATTTATTTGTATTCTTTCCTCATCTCCCAAAACAGCGAGTTTCAGTTTTGACAGGGTAAACCAAAGAAATACTGTTAGTAAGCTATATCTCATAAAATACAAAATGCAAGAAAATGGAATGGGTGGTTCATTTATTAGCTATGTGATGACTGCTAAAATTGATTCCAAAAGAATTTGAAAATGATCATCTTGCAAATATGTACAAAATAAAAACTCAGACGAATCACTTAAAATGTGTATCCTATGCTTAGCCCTTCCGTTACCATCAGTGTTTGTTCAAATACTCATCTACCTATATTTCCTTTTTCTATAACTGGAGTTGGAGTTATTTTTCTAGTAAATCATATTTCTGTTGATTTAAAAAAAACAGAACAGGGCAAATTTGAGTTAGAGAAACTTAAAGTCCTCATTCTTGCTACATGCCTGTAATTTAAGCTTGACTGAAAATTTATTCTCTCTGAGCCAATAACTCTTTTTCTTTCTTTCTTTTCCTGTTCCTTTTTTGGTTGTAAAGGGAGATTTACAGAGATGAGGGACAGAGAAAAACCTCCCATGTGCTATTTTACTCCATAAATGGCTGCAATGGCTGAAGCTGAGCCAATCTGAAGCCAAGAGCCAGGAGCTTCTTCCGGGTCTCCCACATGCCTGCAGGGTCCCGAGGTTTTGAACTATTCTTCACTGCTTCCCCAGATCACAAGCAGAGAGCTGGACGGGAACTAGAGCAGCTGGGACACAAATGGGTGGGCCATCTGGGATCCCAGTGCTTGCAGAGGCAGGATTAACCAACTGAACCACTGAGCCAGGCCCAAGCCAGTGATTGTAATATGTAAAATGAGCTTAATGTTGGCACTTTTCTGATCTTGATCAAAAAGCTCAAAAAACAATATCCCATCATTATGATGTGTATCTTATGCCCCCCAAATCCTCTTACTTGATAGGTGTCCCCATTCTTCCCGAATTCATACAGAGCACCCTTCACCCCAGCTACCGTACTCCCTTCTCATACAGATAGCGCATGTGTCCGTGCACCCCCAAACACCTGCACACATTTGGAACACAAACACACATGCAGGAGAGAAGATAACAGAAAAAGATGTTATATCTACTGGCTCGTTCTCCAAATGCTCCCATTACAAAGGGCCGGGTAAGGACCGGGGCAGGAATCTAGAACTCAGTCTGGGAGGCCCAGGGGATTGGCAGCGACTCACCAACGTGAGCCATAACCTGTAGGCTCACAGGGAGCGAATGAGCAGGAAGCTGGGTTGCAAACAGAGAGGCTGGGACCTGAGCAAGGCATGCTGATAAGGGATCTTGGTATCCCAGACTCAGCTGTCGGGCCACACACCTACCCCATGTTGTGAACACACTTTTAGGTTAGTTTCAGTCCTCTGCACCTGCTTATGAGAACCACAATGACAACTTGTGAATTCCTTCTTCATACAAATATCCATGAGTCTATCTCTGTAATGTTTGCCAAAGGTTGTGTTTGTCCTAAAACATCTAATATCCACTCGGTTGAGATATCTTTTTGGGGGGGGAGAGTGGCAATACAGGGACCATTCTCAAGCTGCCGCAAGTCATGAGATGTCATTGCTAGCATTGAAGAAATATTGTCAACTGGTATACTCAGTACTGGGCAATGCAATTTAATTCACTTGCTACCTTCCTCATTTTTAAATTGTGATTGTTTCCAATTCCAGTGACCATCAGCTCTGTCCTGGTTACTAATATTGGCGGCTATTAGGATTCTAATCCAAATCAGAACATGATGGAACAAATAATAATAATAAGTTGATCTAGTCACGGTCATATACACGGAGGGGGAAAAAGACTGATCAATACAATACAGCATTTAGGATTCATGAGAGCAGAGGGTGAATCTAAGACACACACTCAGATGTCCGAACTGAACCTGAGGTAGTGTTAATTTCCAACGACATAGAATAACCCCTTAGATCTCACTTCACCTCCGCCCCCAGTTAAATTATACTTCATGACATCTGCAGTGCTTCAGGAACACTTCCCCGTTTCTTCCCTACCTGGAATTCCTGGTCAGGCGGGCGGCGTAGGGACGGCCAGTCCGCCCTGAAGTAACAAGCTGGGGAACACTCAGATCCAGAGCCCGGAGCCTCGGAAAGGAATAAACTGAGCGACTGCGCGGAGAGACTTCGCACGGGCTGGACCGGGCAGCCAGCAGCGTCCGCACGTTGCCAGGCAACAGGCGGCTCCACGCTAAGTCTCTAATTTCTTTCTTTGACTTCCTAGAACGAAAAAGGCCAACCGCCCAGATCCCCGGCTCCTTCCACACCGCCTCCCGCCTTTCAGCTGCGTCTCCCGCGCCCCAGAGCGGACCGGCTGCGCCCGATCCCAGACCCGGCAGCAGAGGCGCCTCACCTGCGCTGCTCAGCCGCTGCACATCCACCACGGTAATTCCTCGTTTGTTTGAACTTTACTTACACTGTGCACCTAGCAGATAATGTCTGCCGAACACCCAACTTGATATTTGTGTGGGGAGTCTGACGATACAACAGGCAGTTAGGGTCTCTGGTCCCTGGTGAAGGTACCTTTGTAAAATATAAAACCTCAATGCCTGCCCTTTCAACACAGGGGCACCCAAGCTTCACCCCAGTCTCTTGAGGGAGAATAAGAAACAGATTAATATTGAAGAGATGTTGAAGTAATACAAGCTCAGGAAGAAATTAGTGAAATGATGAAAAGTAAACTGCCAGGTAGGGGCCTCCTGTGAACAGACGTCAACGAGGAGAATTCTGGAAAGGGCACTGCAGCCAACAGGAGCAGTAGGCATGAAGAGCCTGAGGAGATGGTACCCAGGTGGAAGCTACCCTGGGAGAGATGCTGCTGCGCTGGGAGGCGATGCTTGGGGCTGCTCAGAGCCATGGTCAGGCGGAGAAGAACCTCACGCTCACCTGGTACCCCGGAGGTGTCTGGGACCATAGGTTCGATGCTACCGTTTTAGCCCTTTTTATATGCTTTGAAACTACGGTTTTTCTATTTTTACTTGTTGAATATTATAGTTGGTGGTGCATTGAGCCTGTAATTATACAGTGCATTGAAATCCTGTTTTTTCAGAATTTAAAGACAGAAAAGAAAGGAAGGAAAGAGGAAAACTGAGGAAGGGAATTAGAAGAAGGGAGATGTGGTTGCCTTCTTAGAATGTTACCTATAAAATACATGAAATCTGTTCTTTTTATGTTAACACAATTTTTAAAAATGGCAGGCAAATGCATAGAAGATGAAAATTTATTACAGTAAAATAAAAGTGGATGCAAAGTGAGCCTCGCTTGGCATGTACTGGGATCCCATGTGGGCACCAGTTCGCGTGTTCTTGGCTTTAGAACGGCTCAGCCAAGGCTGTTGTGGCCACTTGGGGAGTGAATCCACGGACGGAAGATCTTCCTCTCTGTCTGTCCTCCTCTCTGTATATCTGACTTCCCAAGGAAAATAAAGAAATAAATCTTTAAAATAATAATAAAATAAAATAAAAAAGAGAATGGATGCAAAGTAACAGAGTAGTGGTTCTAACCAAGATGCCAGCTCTCCATAGAATGCTATAAAGTATTGGGATTCAGGATATATTATAAATAGTATCTGCCCTTGAACTAAATGCAGTGGATTAGGGAAAAGCAGAATGGAGTAGCTAGATATTCACATGAACTGTTTCAAGCAACAAGCAGGTGTGATGGTTAATTTTGTATGTCACTCTAAGGATGCTATGGTGACCAGTCGTTTGGTTAAACCTCAATGTAGATGTTGCATGAAGATAGTTTCTAGGTAGGGTTCATTGTATCAATAATCTTTCAACATAGCAGATTGCCATAGCGCTCCATGGTGTGAGGGCAGCCTCAACTGTCCAATGACAATAGCAGCCTGCCTCCAGTGTTTCGGAAATTCTGTTTGAATTCCTAGTAGCTGGACTTGAGATTGCAGCGTCAGTTCTCAGCAGTGTCTGACCTGCGGAGTGTAGGTCTGCAGTGCCCACAATCCCAGGAACCCATTTGTTGAAAGCAATATCTGTATGCTTGCGTTTATATATATATGAATGTATCTGAATAGACACATATAAATTCATGCATGTCTTTGGACCATGTGCTAGGGATCTTAAGAAGTTCATGAAGAATATATATCATGGGGGAAATCAGGATTTAAAAAAATGTGTACCCAAATAAACTTAACTTTTAATTCTAGTTTTCTACAAACCTTTTGATATATCCTGCGTGTGATGGTGAAGTAGTATATAATAACAACTCTGCATTAGCAAGTAGTAGAAAAAACATTATCCTTATTATTGACTAGAATTTTCCTTAAGATCCTTGCATTTTTCTCATTTTGTTGTCTAATTTCCGCAGTGACATCAGATGACAAAGTCCTAAGTAAATCATTAAATATTTGACAAGGTATAAGTTTAGGATCATAGTGTATCGCCAAATAGATTGCTTATTCTCACTCTTACCACTGTCCACGGAAAAGAGCAATTTACTGCTACAGTTTTTGGAAACAATTAAAAAAAAAAAAAAGTTACACACAGCTGCTGAGTTCGCCAAACCAAACGACAACGCTGTGCACCGTCAGCGTTCAATTCACCTGTGCTGCCAGTGTGCCGTCATCGGCATGACGATCCCGGCGCCCTCTAGAGGACGTCCAGATCACTGCCGCAGAGAGCATTTCGGGCGCTCCCGTTTTCGCACAGCAGAGGGCGTTCTAGGGCTTTCCCTGTCTCCGGTGGCTTTTCTGTCAGAACTCGGCCGGCCTGGCGTCCCCGCGCTGGGCTCGAGCCCAGGCAGGAGGATGGAGCCGAGGGAGAGAGCGTGGTCCCCGGGCCGGGGAATTAGGGCTGCCGAGCCGTTACCGGTCTGCGCAGCGTGGGCAAGCTCCGCGTTTTTCCATGACTCTGAAGAGGAACTTTGGCTGCTTGTGGGCCTTAAGTCTGTACCTGGTAACCACTGACTCTTTGACCATCCCGTCCATCAGCGACCCGCGCTTTATAGAGGAGTGCATCGCAGCCCACAACGAATGGCGAGGCAGAGTCCGGCCCCCCGCCGCCAACATGAAATACATGGTGAGGACAGAGTCCCGGCTCACCTGACATTTCTCCTCTTCATCCGGAGCTGTCTGGGCGACCCTGTTTTGAATTTGTTTGCATTTGATCAGTTAAAAACAACAACAACAACAACACCTTTGGTTGGGCTGTCTCCTCCAGGGTCGTGGTAAAAGAGAAGAACTTGCAGCTGTTTTTTGAAACAGCATGAAATCTTGATTTTTCTTTAAATATTTATTCCTCAGCTTTGTCTGTTTTAAAACATGCATGCAATCACAGCCATTAGCAATTTGTAAGATTCCTAACACCTATATTTTCTCACTAACAGGAAATTAATTTCATTGTGGGAAATGACTAAATCTGTGCAGAAAAAAACATATATATAAGCTGAACCTGGAGCATTCTTAATGTCATAGAAAAAGAATGTCCTAAATAGAAATAGCTGGAAATCACAAATTATCCTGAAAATGACAGCAGGAAAACCCTGGAGACTGGAAAGAAATCGTATTTTCTTTAGACTCAGTGAAGAACTGTGAATGCAAAATTATCTACATAAAGTCCATTGGAGAGAAGAACAGCCCCTCCCAAATCAGAAGCACACTCCTTTGGCTGCTTTCATATCTGGGAGAATCGTTGCTAGGTTGAAAACACAAGCCTGCAACAGGCCAAGAAGCTGGAGAAGTGAATGAGATGCCAGACCCTCCAATGGCTGTGGGCAGGCTCATGTGCAGGGCTGAAATTCAGAGGGAACCCAACTGTAGCTCAGTGCCCCTGCCAGGCAGGTTTCCTTGAGGTCTAAGTGCTGGGGCAGGGTAGCTCAGGATGGCTCCATCTTCCCCACCTTCAGAATGCTAAAAGGCAGAGGTTAAACAAAAACTGGGCCCAGAGCAAGGGCTCTGTTGACTAATTCTCCCCTTCCAGCCCTGGCATCCCTGTTGGGTGCTGGTTTATGTCCCAACTGCTTTGCTCCACTTCCTATCCAGCTCCCTGCCTGTGGCCTGGAAGAGCAGTCGAGGACGGCCCAAAGCCTTGGCACCCTGCACCCGGCCCAAAGCCTTGGCACCCTGCACACGTGTGGGAGACCTGGAAGAAGCCCCTGGCTTTGGATCAGCATAGCTCTGGCAGTCGCGTCCTCTTGGGCAGTGAACCAGCAGATGGAAGATCTTTCTGTCTCTCCTGCTCTCTGTAAATGCACATTTCAATAAAAATAAAATTTAAAAAAATTTTTAAACTGCCTATTTTAAGAAATAATCTTACTAAATTTCTTGTCAGTGATGCTTTATAGTTCAATAGTAGAGATTTTAAATATTATTTGTTGTCTTATGCATTCTTAATATTTTTGAAACTATAAGAAAGTACAATTAATTTTTATATATTTTGCCTTATGTTGATAATTTTGCATAATTTTATAGTTGTATTTATGTATTCCTTTGCATTTTCCATGCATCTAATTATGTCATTTGTGCCTGGTGAGATACCAATTATTACACATTTTATATATGTATAGCTTATATGTGTCATTAAACTGCTTACCCTATATTATAATATTAACAGAACTAATAAGAGCAGACATCAGTTTATTCCCTATATTGAGGATAGATTTTAATATTCTACAGTTATATACTGATGCTTGCCTTTGAGGTTTTTGGGGAGGATATTGCTGACCAAATTAAAGAAATTTATTTTAACTCCTTTAGTTTCCATCTTTCATAATCAGCAGATATTTATATTTTACTTAATGATAAATATACATGACCTCATGAATTACCATACTTTGAAATCTGACTGATTTTGGTGACATGCATATTTATTTGTTTGAATGCCTCAAATGCATCAGAACATTTGTTAGATAATGGGGATCCAAATATGACTGCCATTGAAAGGGAATTAAGTATTTGTAAAGCAGAACTAAAAAGAATTGGCTATGAATATAATAAATATAACAATTGTATTTTATGAAAGTTATAAAGCCAAACAAAAATTTTTTTAATTTTTTTAAAGATTTATTTTTATTAATTTTTATTGGAAAAGTGGATATACAGAGAGGAGGACAGACAGAGAGGAAGATCTTCCGTCCGTGGATTCACTCCCCAAGTGAGCGCAACCTGAAGCCAGGAGCCTCTTCTGGGTCTCCCACGCGGGTGCAGGGTCCCAAAGCTTTGGGCCGTCCTCGACTGCTTTCCCGGGCCACAGGCAGGGAGCTGGAAGGGAAGCGGGGCTGCCGGGATAGAACCGGTGCCCATATGGGATCCTGGGCGTGCAAGGCGAGGACCTTAACCACTGCGCCACCGCGCCGGGCCCAAGCCAAACAAAATTTAATTGATTGCTATCAATAGGATAATTTAATTCAACATATACAAAACTCAAATTCTTTTCTCTTTCAGGTGTGGGAAGATGGTTTAGCAAAGATGGCCAGAGCATGGGCAAACAAGTGCCAATTTAAGCATAACGCCTGTTTAAACATCCCATATGAATGCTATGAAAATTATCAATTTGTTGGCGAAAATATCTGGTTAGGTGAATCGAAAGTGTTTTCACCAAGGGACGCTGTTATTGCTTGGTTTAATGAATCGAACTTTTATGATTTTGATAGTATATCATGTACTAAAGTTTGTGGCCATTACACACAGGTAAGAATTTCATATCTTACTAATTAGTTCCGCATTTGTGTACCTTTCCATTGCAAGGAAAAACCTTTTAGTACTTTTTAAAAATTTTCTTCAGGATTTCTGAAAACGCATCTGCTTATAGGAGATATTTTCAATGGAAGTATGAAGTGAACTTTAAAAGTCGTATTTAACTTTTTTTTTTAGTAATAATTATATTTATTTTGTTGAAAGTCACAGAAAACAGAGCTAGAGAGAGATCTCCAGCTACCGGCTCACCCTCTGGAGAGTCTCAACAGCCAGCACCTGGCCAGCTGCAGTCAGGGACCGCTAATTCACGTGATTCTGCCGTGTGGGTGACAGGGCACAGCTGCGTTTCTCAAGCCGTTATCAAGGGGCTCGACTGAAGTGGAGCACCCAAGGCAGGAAAGGTTCCAGGTGGTAGCTTCACCTGCTATGCCACGCTGCCAGCCCCCTCCACTGTTTACTGGCATTGCTTTCCAAAGGAAATCCATGTGATCTTGTTTATTCCTAAGTATTGTGTGGCTTTCTCAGACTGCCTTTTTCTTTTATCGTACTTTTTACATATAATATTTCTACTGATATTTAGGACATAATAGAGTAGTGCGACACATTTATACAATGGGTAGTTATCCAATCAGCACAATTGGCACTTCAGTCTCCTCAAATAGGTTCTCTGTTTCTCAGGAACCTACTGATTCTTCTGCACTAATGATTTTGCAGTGCATGATTAATGCACGCTGTAGTTGCTCATGGCACCGCTGGACGGGAGCACTCCCTCCTCTCCTCACCTGTCTTTGTACCCGTTCCCTGCCGCATCACTCTTCCCCTCCCCACCCTCCCTAAAGCGCCGCTGCTGATTTCTACTAGCTACCTTCTTCTATGATCGACATTTTAACCTTCCCAAAATGGCTTTGAATAGTGGGGTTTTCTGTGTCTAGATTGTTTTACCAAATATGATATATTTCAGTCCCATCCCTGTATTTGCAACTGACAAGATTTCATCCATTTTTTCGGTTGAACAGTGTTAAGTTGTGTATATGTATTGCATATTATTTACCAGTTCATCACGTGACACATCATCGCCGTTTCTTGATATTGTGAACTGTGCCGCATTCGACAAGGGAATGCGCAGGGGAGCGGTGACGGTGCACATCCATATCTTACTCCAGGACTACAGGAAACACTTTCGGTTTTTGCCCATTTAGTACAATTGTTCCCTGTGGCTTTGTCAGGTACTCATGCAGTCTTAATGGTGATGAGATGTGTTCCTTCTACCCCTAATGTGTTGACGGTTTCCATCATGAAAGGTTATTGAGTTTTATTGAATTTTTCCTGCATCCATGGAGATGATCATGTGACTTTTTGACTCATAGTATATTGACTGCTCTTTTACAGTTACTGATTTGCCATATTGAGAAGCCTTTGAGTCTCTGGGATTTTATGTCATTTTCTGTACTGTTAGCATCTACTTACATTGTTTTGTTGAGAATTTTGCATCAATGCTTATGGAGGACATAGATCAGTAATCTTTACTGTGTCTGAAATTTTGATAAAAGGGTAATAATGATACCGTAAAATGAGTTTAGAGAAAAACTGCATACTGCAACTTATCTTCACTTTCTGCCATGCTAGTTTCCATTATACAGTTAATCTATGAGAATACATGTATGTATTTGATGACCTGTATTTCTATTTATTTTGTATTTTGCACAAATGTTGCCTTATATGATGGCTTATTTCACTGACATAATGGTCTGCAATTGGGACCATTTTGTTGCTAATGATAAATTTTCATTCTCTTTTAGTGGCTATATAATGTTCCATTGAGTAGGTATACCACAGTTTTTTAACCCAATTTTCTGCTGATGGGCATCTGGGTTGCCAACATGTATTCTCTGTTGTGAATTGTGCTGCTGTATAGGGTTGGAGGTTTCTTTGCCATTTGCAGATTTCATTTTGTTTGAATGTATTCCCAGGAGGGGGGTAGGTGGGTTGAATGATAGATTAACTTTCAGTTGTCTCTGCGCTCTCCGTCCCGGTTTCCACAGTGGCTGCACTAGTCTGCACTTGCACCAATGGTGCATTAGGGTACATCGTCACTAGCACTTGTTAATTGCTTTCTGTATGTAAGCCATTCTCAATGGAATTAGGTGGAACCACAATGTGATTGCTGTTTGTTTTTTCCTAACAGCAAGGGAGACTGAGCATATTTTTATATGTCTATTAACCATCTGATTTTTTTTTTTAAGTTTCAGAGTTTCACTTTTTGACATGCTTAAATCCTGGACATGGTACCGAACTTCTCTGATGTCCTCTACGTACTCTGTTCAATAACAGAATCCTTTGAGGCCAGATACCACCAAGACTCTAGGGAAAAGGTTTTTGTGACAGAATATGATTTAATTCCTGCTGGGAAAATGGAAAGAATGAAATGTCAGGTTCCCCGGTGACAGCAGAATGCAGAATCCCTAAAATGGCATCAAGGCCGAATCACAGCTAGCTTGCTTGTCCTGTTTGCATTTTAAGCAAAATGAGAAAAAAATTCTTAGAGTTTCATCACTAATAGATACATTAAAGTTATGACCAGTGTTCACACCAGTGTAACAGGGGTTCTTTCAATGATACTATGTATTTTGAATGTATACATAGTCAGTATTTATTTTCACTATGTCTAAAACTAAAACAGAAATGCCACTTTAAGTACATTGAACAATAGAATTTTAGGGTGCGGTTAATTACCCATTGACCAATTTTAAACATGATTTCTTGAAAATATATATACTTGCAAAGTATAGTTTAGTAACTTTCATAAACATTGAAAAGGAAAAGGATCTTTTACTTGCCTAGTTTAATCTCATTGAGTAGGAAATTAATCCAGAATTAGTTTGTTTGCCATACAATTTTTAGTTCACTGTGTTTTATTGTACGGTGCTATCTCTCAGGCACATAAAGAGCCTTGGAAATATAGTTGTTGAAATTACTGACATTAGCTATATAAAAATCATAGAAACAAGTAATTAATATTGTTGCTTGTGAAATAGGCTAGTACGATTTGTTACTAAAATTTTCAGATCATGAACTCAGAAAAATCATGTGTGATGTCAAAATATACTCTACATCAATGCTCTGAATTATTTAGTTTTCTAAATAGTGTCTATTGCTGTTTTCCTTCTTATTCACATGGAGAATGTTGAATAATTTCATTCTTTCAGTGTCGCAAAGGACTGGCAATTCTCTTCACTTCTTTATCTCTCCCAGTGAGGACTCTCTATGCCAGTCCTTTTCAATACTTATGCTATTCTTTGCAACTAAAAGGAAAAAAAAGCTAACTTAACATCCTTATGGGATGCAGTGTCTTCCTTTAACTCTTTCATCATTACTGAAGTGCTTGGAAACACAGTTACAGTTCTGCCCTCTGAGCTCAGTGTGGCACGTTCTGGCTTTGCTGCCACCTGGGGAGTGAACTAGTGGACAGAAAATCTTTGCTTCTCACTCTCTTACTGTTAGTATGACTTTGAAATAAACTAAAAAAATTTAAAATTTATATATTTCCAAAATCATATGGAAGAAATTATGGTTTGGGCTATATACTGTATTCTTTTCAGGTTTTTTTTTTTTTTTGAGAATTAGGAATGATAGAAAAAAGTAGCCTTTATAAAATAACCTTCACAAAACAGTCATTTAATGCTAAATACTAGAAATTAGAAGAACTATGCTCCGAATGCTGATGTATATTCTTCTTTTGCAGTCTGACAAATTATGTCAAATTTCCATATTGTGGTGTTTATATAGAATTTCTTGCATGTTTTATTTTAAATTTTCTTTCTTTACAGGTAGTTTGGGCCAGTTCGCATAGAGTTGGTTGTGCAGTTAAAATTTGCCCTAACCTTGGAAAAGGTTCTACTGCAATATTTGTCTGTAACTATGGACCTGCGTAAGTTATTTTGCCATTATGTATTAGTAATATATGATATTTATTTATTTATTTATTATTTATTATTTTTGATACATTGTCCAGAAAAATGTGTGGAAAATTCATTTTTAAATGAAATGGACCTAGAATAACTAAAACAGGCACTGGTGTAGTAGCTCAACAGGCTAATCTGCCTTGCAGTGCCAACATCCCATACAGGCACCAGTTCTAGTCCCAGCTGCTCCACTTCCTATCCCACTCCCTGCTTGTGGCCTAGGAGGGCAGTGGAGGATGCCCCAGAGCTTTGGGAATCTGCATGGACGCAGGATGCCCAAAGGATTCTGGCTTCTGACTTCAGATGCCTCATTTCTGGCTATTGTGGCCACCTGAGGGGTAAACCAGTGGATGGAAGATCTTTCTGTATCGCCTCCTTTCTTTAAATCTGCCTTCCCAATAAAAAATAAATAAAATCAGAATAACTAAAATAAATTGAAAACAATGTGAAGAGTTAGTTCTTTTGTCTTCCAGAATGACTAAAATCATAATAGTGTAGGACTGCTATAAAGTTAAACAAGTCAGTGAGACAATATAGAATCTGATAATAAGTCCAGGCACGATTGAGCACAGTTATTCAACTGATTTTTTTCACAGATGCACAAAGGCAACGCAGTGTGGAGGAAATGGTGTTTTTTGACAAATTGTGCTGAAACTGTTAGTCATCCACACTACAAAAAATAACACAGATCACACATCTGAATATAGAGTCTAAATGTATGCTTTCAAAGAAAGCATAAACAAAAACATATGTGACCTTCATACAGTCATAACTACTATAACTAAGGCACAGTTCATAAAAGCAGATGATAAACTAGATGTCCTGAAAGTTAAAAATAACTTATTCAGAGAAAATGATGAAAAGAATGGAAAGACCATCCAGTCTCAGAATGTAAAACACACCAACTAAAGGACTGTTACTGAAAAACTATGACAACTCAGCATTTAGAAAACTTAAAATTTAGTTTTTTCATGTTTATTTTCCTTAAAAGACAAATATACAGAGATAAACTGCTATGTCTGCTGAATTGAATGGCAGGAACACAAACAGATCAACCATTGCCTCCTATGTACCAGGGTAGGCAGTAGCAGGAAGCTAGAATCACAGTCAGAATTCAAACCCAGGCACCCTGAGAGGACTGATGGATATGCAAAGCAATGTCTTAACTGCTGCGATAAAAACCTTTTCGGCAATTCAAAACAGCTGACAAAAGAATAACAAGATGTGGATGTACCAAGCAATCTTTAGGAAAATATTCCACTCATGAGTCATTAGGAAAATACAAATTACAACCACAACAGAGACTGACCACTCCAGTTGCTGAAATCCTCATTCACCGTAAATACATGTCCATGTCTGGGCTTATGTTTCATAGCAACTATTTGGGGGTAGTCCAAAACTTGGGCAACTCAGATGTTCATTAATGGATTTAAGAATAAAGAATCAAAAATAGTTTATTTCCTAACAGAAAATTACTAATAGTAACAGGGTACTTTAAAACATTCAGAGAAGGAAGTTCCACAAACATTCAGAAATGCCTTCGGATGTTTTCTTCACGCAATCTAGGAAAATCACACTTTTACAGCCCTCTCCAGATACAGCTGATAACAGAGTTATTGAACCATACAGGATTGTATTATTGAAAAGCAGGCTTGTTAGTTGTCAAATCTTTTTGCTACATAATCAGATAGAAACAGATAATAATTATTGTATTGTCCTCTTCAATTGCACTTTCATAAGCAAAAAAAAAACACATTTTAATTAGCAATTTAAGTTTCACCTATCCAATTTACAAAATGAAGTATAATCATAGTGGCAATGAAAAAGTTTTAATATACTCAGTAATTACATTTATTAAGTTTACATTTATTTTGAGCTTCATAACTGTCGTGTGATTTAGGGATACTCTATAAATAACAATGTTAACAGTTCCTTTGAACAAAAGAGATAAATATAAAATAGAAACCACACTTTTTGCTGCTTTTTTCCTAATGTTCATGACCAAACAACTTTCCTAAAAATGAACTAACCAGTGTTTCTCTTTTTATAGAGGAAATTATCCAAATCAACACCCCTACAAAAAAGGAACCTCCTGTTCTCAGTGTTCAGAGAGAGAGAGATGCGTAAAGAAGCTCTGCCGTAAGCAAATAATAATCATCATCCTCTTGTCCTTAAGAAATAAAGTGACCATGAATTCATTCCATTCCATGTTATCATCTTTTCACCTTCAAAGATTCTCTAAGGGTAGATGTACATTTTCTTGAAGGAAACAGCAGAAAATTGTGATTTAGGAAATGACCATATATACAGTACTGTGAAAGAAGACAAACACAAGAAAATAATGCATTTGAAATTATTTCGCGTGTATATTGCACCAAATCAGGCAAAATCAATTTATTTACACTCAAGGCAGCCGTGCCTTTGAAGAGGAAAGAGGAAGTGCTAACAGGAAGATGACACGAAAATGACTTTCAGCATCTGTCCTGTGGTTGGCTAGATGTGTTCTCTTTGTCCTAATTTGTTATTCTTACAATAAAGGGATATGAATTTTTCTGTATTCAATGTTTTACTTATATTAAAATTTAATTAGAAGGGTAGCCCCTCTAATATCAAGCTTAATTCTAAGAAATTCTAAAGTGAACTTACTACTTACTTTCTGTTTTCTAGACAGAGGGATAAAAAAATAACAATGATACATCCATTGCTTTCCTTCCTCCTTCCTCGCAGGATCCAACCTGCTGTCACATCTGGCCTGAAACCCCTGAAAGTGCCTGCTGCTTCTCTGCCTTTACTTCAAATTATTTTGCGCACACACACACACACACACACACACACACCCCTCAATAATTCCTTTTCTAAAATCCCAGTTGCTTCCAGTTACAATGAATTGAAAATCTGATTGGAAACCCATGCGGCCAACCTGGCTCACACCTCCTCTGTCCTGTTTTTTGTTTGTTTTTATTTTCTTTTTTCTTTTGGAACACTAGACTCCATTATCACCATTTCTGTATTCCAAATTCTTTCTAAGCCTCCAGCCTCTAGATCATCTGGAAGTCTGTTTCTGTTTTTGTTTTGCTGTTGCCCCTTAGTTTTGTAACTAATGCTGGATTTCTTGATGTGCTGAATTATTTGTAAGAAAGCCATCAACATTCCCTCCTGTAACACCTGTCACCTCCTATTTCCTGCTCCTTCCCCCAGGTCAGGAGGGATTGTCTTTCCCCCTACTCCACCCCCACCGCTAATAAAATTTGGGGCATGTTAAGAAATCTGTAATCTGCTAGAAAAACAGCTTTGAGAGGAGGAATTATCCTGATGTTTGAACCCCAGCTGAGCTGCAAGTAAATGCAGCCAGGTTGCTGAACTTCTTGATCCTATATACAGTAAAGCAATCACCCATCAGAGACAGCCATTCTGGATTAGGGAGAGAAATAATGAATTGTTTTGATTATAAACTCAGTTTGAGAGATGTTTGTATCACAACAGTAGATCATGGAAACAATTGCTACATCTAAAAAATTTTTACTGAAGACTTTTAGAGAAAAGTAGAAATTTCTAATGTTTCCTCTGTCAAGTGGATAGAATCACCTTAAATCAAACACAGGGTACTTACGGCTAGATTAGACGTTTTGGAAAGCTTAGTTGAGCCCTGCTGTTCTTACATAAAGTTTGTAGACTTCCCTGGTTTTCCTGGTGTGCTCCCAGGTATCCCTTCCCTGTTGGGTCCCAGTCCCAATCCTAATTGCCATACCCTGTGAAATTGCTGGAAACTTGCTTCTAGAGTCTTGCAGCCTAGGTTTTCAGCCTCCTTCTCTGCACAATTTCAAAATTCATCCAACATCTTAAGCTCAAAGCCCACTTTTTCCTCCCTCCTGGTTCTTGACCTCTTAGCTCGCTAACGTAGTCTCTGCAGACCTACAAGGCCACCAAAAGTGGTAGTAAATCCTCCGCTTCTCCAAAATCAGCTTTAAACTGGGTCACAGCTCGAGTGTTCAGTCTTAGACCTGACCCACGGGCAAAGCAGCTTTGTCACACGAGTGGACGTCTCTCTAGGGATCTTCTCTGCCGGGTAGACCCCGGCCAGGCCTGCTCACTAATACAAACTCTAATGCCTGTGAACAAGGCTTAGTGGTTCTGCATTAGAATTTTTTGGTTGTGCTCAAGAAACGTTTTCTTTCTGTTTTAAATTAATTCTTCCAAGACATTTAAAGATTATCAGTACTATACAGCCTTTAAAGACAGAGTGAGCTTTGATGCTGAAGTGCATGTGTCTTCCTAACTTGTTCTTTTTCTTTCTTTTTCACTTTTAATAAAGATTTATTTATTTTTATTGGAAAGGTAGATTTACAGTGAGAAGGATATACAAACAGAAAGATCTTCCATCCACTGGTTCACTACCTAAGTGGCCGCAACAGCTGGAGCACAGCCTGAGCTGAGCCAATCCGAAGCCAGGAACTAGGAGCTTCTTCTAGATTTCCCACGCAGGTGCAGCATCCCAAGGCTTGGGCCATCCTCTACTGCTTTCCCAGGCCACAAGCAGGGAGCTGGAAGGGAAGTGGAGTAGCTGGGACATGAACGGGCACCCATATGGGACAGTACATACAAGGTGAGGTGAGGATTTCATCACTAGACCCGTTCTTTTTCTTTCTTTAGAAGAACATTTGCTTATTTTTATTTGAAAGGCAGGTTTTTACAGACATAGAAAGAAAGACAGGTCTTTCATCCACTGGTACACTCCCCAACTGACCACAATGACTAGAACTGAGCTGATCAAGCTGGGAGCCAGCAGCTTTTCTGGGTCTCCCACATGGGTACAGGGTCCCAAAGCTTTGGTCCAACCTCTAATGTTTTCCCAGGTCATTAGAAGGAGCTGTATTGGAATAGTAGCAGCTGGGACATGAACTGACACCCATATGGAATGTTGGCATTTGGATGTTGGAAGATTAGCATGCTATATCACCATGCCAATCATAACTACATCAATCCAAAACTACTTGGCTAATCTTGGCCCTTTGGTATTACACACTAATGTAAGGATAAGTGTATTAATTCCACAGATTACCTGATCGGAAGTTTGGTTGGGATAATATTGAATTTAGAGCTAAATTTGTGAAGAATTAATATTTTGACAAACAATGTTTACAACAATAAAATGGTTTATTTAGGTCTTTTGAATTGTTTTACACAGGCATTGAAATTTTCGTGGTAGAGACCTTGGGCAGGAGATTTCTTGGTGACTTGTATTTGTTGTTCTTATAAATGTTTTAAGTTGGGCCCGGCGCGGTGGCGCAAGTGGTTAAAGGTCCTCGCCTTGCACGCCCGGGATCCCATATGGGCGCCGGTTCTATCCCGGCAGCCCCGCTTCCCTTCCAGCTCCCTGCTTGTGGCCTGGGAAAGCAGCAGAGGACGGCCCAAAGCTTTGGGAACCTGCACCCGCGTGGGAGACCCGGAAGAGGCTCCTGGCTTTGGATTGGCATAGTATCGGCCCGTTGCGCTCACTTGGGGAGTGAATCATCGGACGGAAGATCTTCCTCTCTGTCTCTCCTCTCTGTACATCCGCCTTTCCAATAAAAAAATAATAAAAATAAATCTTTAAAATATATATATATATATAAATGTTTTAAGTTGCATTTAGTAATTTTGCTGATTTATTGAAATATTAATGCTTTGTCTGTTAGTCTCCTCCCCATAAAATCTTACCGCACTCTCATCTTATTTCTAATAATTTATACATTTTCTGTATTTCAATTATGGTATTTGCAAAAAATAACTGCAGGATTTGCTATTTCTTCTAATCTTTACACATGTTATTTATTTACTTCTTTTGAAAATGGACAATTATAAAGTACAAAGTTGAACATAAGCTATGATAGTAGATATTCTCCTCTCTCACTGTAAAAGCCATGTTACAGATTTGATGTAGATTGTTTCAGATTAGTCCTTGCTACCAAGACATAAATTTATTATCTTTTCCTTATTTTGTTAATAATTTTTAACATGAGTAAATGTTTAGGTTTATATTTTTTCTGTACCTCTTCAACTGTTCAATATTTTTTGCCTTTAATATGTCAGTGTTTCAAACTGTATCAAAGTTTTGTAATACAATCCAGTTACTTGTAAAATTTCAAGATATTGAGAGTCAAGTAATGGCCCTGTAACAGCAGACCATTCTTCCACGTGTGTGTTAAATACAACTTGGTTTTATGGCTTCCTTAGTAAACTTTTAATTTATAATCTTGGAATTTAATTTTAGAATTCTTACTGACTTATAATTTTCCTTCTTAACATCTCCATATGGTAGTGTGAATTTAAGGTTGTGGTAGGTTTATGAAAGAAGGTGGAAGTTAGGAATACTGGTTCTTTTAGTATTTTGTTGTGGTTGGTGCAAAACTCTGCCTATTTTGCTTTTGAATGTTTGGCAGACCTTCTCTATAAGCCTGTTCTATTCTGGTCTGTAGGAGTATTTGTGTGTGTGTGAGTACCCACACATACTATGTGCTTGCACAATTTTAAATTGCTGATTTAATTTACTTAATGATTATGTCAGCTTCAGATTTAGGAAAAACCTTAGTGTAGCAAATCAGAATGCAGAGTCTTTAACCTTTCAAGGAAAATGAATTTATTATGGAGCAGGGCAGCAAATACCTTGCAGGATAGCGCACACAGGGAAGGAAAAACAGGGTTTTTAAGGTTAAAGTGAATATACATTAAATCATGCTATGTGCACAACAGCACTGTGGTCACTGGTAGCAGTCTGTTAATTCTAAAAGCAATAACATCTTGGCAGACAAAGCGAAAGCTACCAAGGTCAGCGTGCCCTCAAACAGACAATATCATTAAACAGGCCAGAAGCTCTAAGCTTTCCAAGAGCCTCACCTGCACTGGCAGAGTTTTGCGGAGTTCATGGTTGGTCCTGTCATTATTGTCTGTTTTAGCTGACCTATATCACCTTAGTAAAATTTCTCCTATAAACAAGTGTTAATGAAATTATTTTATAATCTTATCTCTGCTGTGTCTGAGGCTACATTCCGTTTGATTTCTATAATTTTTGATTTTTGCTTTTTTCTTGATCATCTTTATCTATGTCTTTGTACATCTGTATCCTTACATATGTGTGTCCATATATGTGTGTATCTATCATATACATATTTGGTTGGACCACTTCCTTTTCCAGAGATCAGAGACATAGCTTGATGACCATATCTAGGCCTTGGGGTAAAATGAGCTAATTCAGGAGAAGTCTAAGGAGGATTAAACATGAAAAGCCAAAGTGCTTTGAGCCTCAAATAATAGTAATTTAAAGTTAAGAAAATTATCAATTACTTACTAATCAAATTAATAAATACTGGTATGTTTTTGCTATTATTAACATTATATTCCTCATCATTTTCTATTATCAGATCCATTTTTCATAAAGCTTCCCATTCTTTGAAATAATCATTTTTATTCATTTTATTTATTTTATTTAAAAAGTGATGATATCATCTTTGCTGCAATGAAAGGAACTTAATTTTTTTCCTGACAGTCATTCTATTCAAAGCCTACATCATGTACATCCAATACAAAATAATATATGTCCATATATATATATATATATATATATATAAGAAAATAAATTTCTAACAAAACAGAGGAGGGGGAGGAAAAAATCTGTGGGAAAAACATGGGGCAGGGCCAGTGATATGGCACCACAGATTAAGCCCATGCTTGCAATGCCTACATCCCATATGGGCTCTGGTTTATGTCTGGGCTGCTCTACCTCTGACAGAGCTCCCTGATAATGTACCTGTGAAAGCAGCAGAAGATGGCCCAGGGCTCCTGAAACCCAAGGGGAGACCTGGAAGAAGCTGCTAGCTCCTGGCTTATGACTGGCTCAGTACTGCTTGTTGCAGTCATTAAAGTAACCAACAGCAGATGAAAACTCTTTGTCTTTCTTTTTTCTCTCTACAACTCTGTTTTCAAATAAATAAATGAGTCTTTAAAAATTAAGAAAAGAAAATTTAGAACAAGTACCACTAAAGAAATCAACATCGGGGAATTAGACTTTTTTTTCAGAGAAGCGGACTGGGCATGGTGGTGTGCCAAAAACACAGTGCTGCTTCGCAGGTCTGCTTGTTTAGACCTCTATGCCTCGGACACAAGAAACTTACTAGAAACATTTGTTAACATTGATGGGTGGCATCATGAGGATTCCCAGTAGATGCTTTCATGTTCTTAAGTTGAAAGGTCAAATTTTCCTAAATTATTTGTCATTTTCTAAAAGTTAACATTTTTAATGTTTGTAATAGTAACTATTTTTGTTCTTTAGAAATTCCACAAATTGTGCCTGACAGTGTGAATGTGAATTTAGGTATGTATTGACATATTTCAGTATTGATTTTAGTAATTACTCCCCTGTAAGCTACACTGAGTGCTAATTGGGTTTTTTGCTTTTTTTTTTACATATAATCCAGGTGACAGTCCAAGGGGTGGAGCGTCACAGGAAGCAGCATGCAACCTACTGAGCCTTGGCATGCTCCTTCACAGAATGGTTTAACATGACAAGAAAGAAACAATTCACAACTAAATAACACTCAAGAGCACTTTATCTATTAAATATTCTATACTCTTGTATCTATACATTTTGTTTCAAAAGATACAGTGTAGGGGATGGTTAAACACTGAAGTCTTGCATTTTTTTCCCCTTAACTACAATTGTTTGTTTATGTCCCATTATCTAATTTTCTAATATGAATGTCATTTTAGATTTAAAGAACAAAATCTGTTTCAATTATTACTTTCCTTAACTGGTAATAGTTTCCATTAAGAATATCATCAGTATCATTCAGAAACAAAATGTTATTGAGGTAAGTTTAGAGAGTGTATAATACAATCATGATAAATAATTGGGTAAATAAGCCCTCTATAAATAACATGAATATAAATATTATCAATAGTGCAGGTAACATTATCTGTGCAAATTAAAGTTATTATTATTCAATGTTTAATATTTTTATTTTATTTTATGTGAAAAAGAAACAGAGAAATAAATCTTGCATCTGCTAGCTTTCTCCCTAAATGCCCTCAATAGCTGTAGCTGGACAGGGTGAGGGCAAGAGTTTGGAAATCTTCTGGGTATGCCATGTGAGGGCAGGGCCCCAAGCCCTTGAGTCACCATCCACTGCCACCAAGCATACACATTAGCAGGGAGCAGCAATCAGAAACCAAGCCAGAACTCAAACCTAAGCACTCCCAAATGAAACGCTGGAGTCTGAGTCACAGCCACTATGCCAAACACCACCCCAATACATTCAATCTTAAAATGTGTTTATTCATTTGGACTAAATTATTTGAAATTTTTTTCCCTCAAGGCAAGCAGCAGCTTCCTTTCAACTAACTATATTTAAGACCATCTTAAAATGTATTTTTCATGGGCTGAAGAAATATATTGTGCATGTTGGCAATAGATTTTCTCTAAAAATATAATCAATTCATAAACAAAAGGATGAAGCTAAGCAGTTTTGACTTTCAAATCTACTTCCATCAGTCAGTGTTTACCAAAGTAATACTAAGAATCAGTGGCAGAGAGATAAAAAAGAGTGAAAGGAATTTTAAGTAACTGTTTCACAGGATTCTTTGTGCTACCAAGTCAAAATTTGCGAAGCAAGTTGGAAAGATAAGAATTCAAGTAAAACTTGCTGTGTAGTCTTGCATCCAAAGCCTGGAAACTCAGGCAGGATTTCCGGCCTATGGTTGGGAGGTTGACTTTCTGCCTCTGGAGAACTCAGGTCTGTGCTCCTAAGCTCTTCAACCAAGTAAGTGAGTCCCATGCATGGTAAGGAGGATAGCATGCTTTAGTTGAAATTAACTGTTGTAAGTTTTAACCACATCTTTAAAAAACAAATAGCTTTTCAGCAGCCTCTGGACTGTAGCTTGACCAAACAACTGGCGACTCTTATACTGCCATGTTGACCCATACCATTAACCATCACGCTGCTACTTAGTTAGCATTATGAATATGGATTTGTTATCCTTTTAATAATGTAAACTGTAGCTGTCTTAACTATTGCATTGTAAAAATTCAAATCCATAATGAACTGCTCCCTAACTTGTGACTTGAAGGAGACCAAAGATAAAATGAAATGTACATAGGGCACACTTCGCTACCTACTGAATTGTCATTATATTCTTCATGAAATCTTAAATTTTTCAATAATAATTGAAGAATCATCTGATTTTCAATGTATTTCTTTCTGTACTTCTTCAGAATGTTTGCCCAACCAATACTGTATGAGTCTTCTCAAGTCACAGTAGGTAAAATTCTACCTACAATAAAGAAGACTTTTTATAAATTATAATCACTGATTTTAAAAATATGTGGTAAAGAATATTGAATTAACACTGTTTGGAATTTTCACGTAGTGGCATTTTCTAGGGAAAGGGATCTGTCTGCACAAGGCCCTTTATCTGTGCTACAGCTGCGAGCAGACACTGGGAAGAGAGTGCCCTCATTCAGTGATTAAGGGGGGTGGGGATAGAGATAGGGGGGTGCTTGTTATTCTTACTAATAAGAAAAAAAAACTCTAGGCCAGGAAGTCACTTTTATTCCTTGTGGTCTTAATCATGGATTCTTAAAAGAAAATATTGGGAAACTTGCTTGTAATTCTTTTAAAGCATTTTTACATATTTTCTACTAATTTGCAAAGCCTAGAAACAGACAATTAAAAAAGAGAACTCTTCTAACTGTTGGTTCACTGCCCCAGATGTCTGCAAGAGCCAGAGCTGCACCAGATTGAAGCCATGAGCCCAGAACTTAATCCATCTTAATGCATATATACCCATGTTTGTGACAGGCATTCAATAGTTAAGCCAACACCAATACCTACCCGTCCCCAGGATGACAAGGTGAACATTAACAAGAAACTGGGAACTAGGAACCTGAAATCGGATGTATTTTGCCACTTAGCACTGGTCCCAAGACACAACTTAAAAGGCAAGCCAAATGCCTACACCAACTTGAGACTCTTATTCCCAACAGACTGTGATTTTTTTTTTAATTTAAGTTGTTATTTATTTATTTATATATTGCTTTTTTGAAAAAATTTTAATGGTTGTTCTAGGGTTTACCTGCACTGGTCAGAATCAGGTTTGTGTGTTTCTTTTTAAGATTTAGTTATTTTTATTGGAAAGGCAGATGTACTGAGAAGGAGAGACAAAAAGATCTTCCATCCACTTGTTTACTCTCCAAGTGGCCGCAATGGCTGGAGAGCTGAGACAATCCGAAGCCAGGAGCCATAAGCTTCTTCCAGATCTCAGTTTTGGTGCAGGTTCCCAAGGCTTTGAACCATCCTCAGCTGCTTTCTCAGACTACAAACAGGGAGCTAGATGGGAGACAGGGCACCTGGGACACAAACTGGTACCCATATTTGATCCCAGTGCATGCAAGGTCAGGACTTTAGCTACTAGGCTACCCGGGCAGGCCCAACAGATTGTAATCTTGATAGCTGCTTTAAGTAACTACTCTTTACTGAGCTTAGAATTCCAAGTTCTAAGCTTGGCTTTTTCCAAATACTGAAAAAAAAACCAACATAAGACTTATTTTATATTTCACCCTAGCATACTATTACAGATAATGGAGCTATGTGGATTACTTAGGGGAGCAAAAAGGAAGTTCATTAGTATCGTCCTTGTTTAATGATGAATTGTCCTGAGAAGGAACATCTAGGAATACCAAAAAAATGCCTTAGACAGATCCAATACACAGTGAACACAATGAATGAGTGAGTTGTAAAGTTCTCCCAGAAGAGTGGCTTTATCAGGGACTACAGTATAAACTGACTGCTATGTTACACTGGGTACACTGTTAACCTCTGAGTCTCACTGGGCTTTTTCATGGCACTGAAGGAGGCAGGACTGCTTACCACACACGATGTTCATACACAATCTTCTGGACAATGATCATAAGATTCAAGGGGGTAAAACCTCATTTGACCAAATTAGCCAACTCAGTCACTTCACCAGATTGGTTAGGCTTATTTACCACTGCTCCAAACTGAAAAGGAATCCAAAAATGAAGAAGAAATTCAACATAGGTAAAAGTTTATAAGGGCAATTTACAATAAAACTGGGCAAATGAGCAGTCAGTTAAAAAAAAAAAACACTACAGCAAGATTTATCAATATAGGATAGTAGAGGGGAAAAATATTCTGTACATTTATGAATCAAGAGGGGTGCCTGTCATGGTGGTTCAGTGACTAAACCTCACCTTGCAAGCATCAGCATCCCATATGGGCACTGGTCATGTCCCAGATGGTCCACTTCTGATCCAGTTCCTTGCTTGTGGCCTAGGAAAGCAGTAGAGGATGGCCCAAAGCCTGGAAACCCTGCATGAGTGTGGAAGAAACAAACAAGCTCCTGGCTTCTAATTCAATAGCTCTAGCCATTGTGTCCACTTGGATAGTGAAACAGTGGATGGAAGATCTTTCTCTCTGTATCTTCCTCTCTCTGTAAATCTGCCTTTGCAAAGAAAAATAAAAAGAAGCAAAAGAAGCAGGGCTGGCACGGTAGTCTAGCAGCTGAAGTCGTCACCTTGCATACGCCAGGATACGATGCAGACACTGGTTCTTGTGCCAGCAGCTGCACTTTGCATCTCCCTGTTTGTGGCCTGGGAAAGCAGTGGAGGATGGCCCATAAGCCATGGGACCCTGCACTTGAGTCAAAGACCTGGATGAGGTTCCTGGCTCCTGACTTCAGATCAGTGTAACTCTGACCATTATGGTCACTTGGGGAATGAATCAGCAGATGGATGATCTTCCTCTCTGTCTCTGTTTCTCTCTGTGTATCTGACTTTCCAAAAAAAAAAATAATAATAATAATAATAATCTTTAAAAATATTTTTTAAAATAAAAAGAAGCAATAGGAAAACAAGCTATCAATTTATACCATAACAGTTTTTATTGATGTTTTAGGGAAGGAAGCTTCTCAGACGCATTAGTGGTCTTCCTGACCTTATCAGAATGATAGCACTTGAACTTGATGGCTGTGGACTGGTCCACCAGGCTGATAGGTGGCCACTGTGCTTTTCAGAGAGAGAGAGACAGAGAGAGAGAGAAAGAGAGCAGGAGATAACAAGGGGGTGTGTGACTCAATATAACATGCATATTGTGTTTCCATATGCTGCATATTTTTATAATAAGGAAATACATGTTATAAAATACCTAAAAGGTGAACCCCCCAAAAGATTAGATAAAAGAACAATAAAAAGGTAAGTGACTGCTACGTGCTTATATCAGCAAGACAATAAAAACCTCTGTCATTTCCAGTTTGTGGTTTGTATTTATTTCACATCTATAATTAATCTACATGTTTCTTTCAGCTATTTTTCAATATAGATCATTATTTTGAGAGGGTTTTTGGCATTCTATGAAAACTTCATGACTGGACGGAGACCCACTTTTATCCTGGAACCTGGTCACTCTATCATATGTGGGAAGAACAGATACAGCATGAACACTTCCACCACCCTGGTTTTAAGCCTTTTTTGTTGTTGTTGATAAGTTGCCTATTCATCTCCTTCATACAGTTTTCTATTAGTGGTAGGATGACTCATTTCTTAGGCTTTAAGAAAT